GTGTGTGTGTGTGTGTGTGTATGTGTGTGTGTGTGTCTATCACCAGGGAAGAGCTAGAACGGGCGGTATCATAGAATAGGGTAGTAGATAGATCAGCTAGAGTGATATGTACGATAACTCGCAGCAAGTCTTCCCAATGGGAAATACAAAGTCCCTCCGTCTAGAACAAACGCGAAATTGAACCAAGCAAGGTTCGTTGCTTCTAGTCTTCCATATACGTGTAGTACTAATACTACCGCAACTGCTTCTACTACTAGTGAGTGTGATGAGATGAAAGCGACGGGGTTCATCGAGATTCATTAATGCGGACTGCTGGATTCGGGATAGGCCGCGGGATACTTTCAGATTACTACCCTGGGATATAAGAGAAGAGAAGAGAGTGCTCCCTAGTAACATAGTATCTACAAACGTACTCGTACATATTATGTACGGAAAGGCGTTTGACTGAACCGAGGAAGGGGGGAAAACGGCTTAGCCGTCCGATCTGCAATTGCAGACTAAGGACAGAGGGGGGCGGGGGAAAACAAACATCACGGAGGATGATGTGATGGCTTCGTCCACGTTGCATGCAAAGTCAAAGGTAATCAACACGAGTGAGGCAGGTCGATCAAGTTGGTGTACTCCGTAGGTATACTCAGATCCGGTATAATCTGCTCCGTACAAATGACTGAGATACCCAAAGAGGAACGTCAAAGAGAATCCTTTCCCTTCTTGCAGCACAGCGCTTCTGTTGGATGCAGCATCGTCAGTGTAACCGGAGCAGAGACACGCAACGGTATGGCATGGCACTAAACGGCGAACCGCCACAGTGGCATCCTCCCGCGATGCCCGTGATGGGCTCTCAGTTGTACAAAGCACAAGGTACCGCCGCACACACAAAGAAGAAGAGCAACGGGAAGAAGGAAAAAGGGAAGAGGGCGCTTTGATCAAATCTTGGAAACACAGTGCGGCCGCTTGAGAGAAGCATGAAATTAGAGTATCCGCACGGCATTTCGGACAAGGACGTTGGCTTCGCCCTTTCAGCACGACAGTTGCGCGTCTTTCCGTCAGTTTCGGCACAAGAACATAGACGAGGCACGTCATGTTCCCTCGCGAAGAAATTGATGTGGTTTCATCGCCATGACGGCCTGTTCCGAGGCTCTGTGAATCAGGGCTGGGCGCTCTCACCTGTTACTGTTACTCATACTGGAGCAGTATGAAAGGGGGGGTTTGGGGGGCTCATCAAACAGCCTTCTGCTCAGCTGGAATGGCCCCCCCATCTCCGGCATCTCCTGCTTTGAGCGAGGCGGCTGCCGTTAATTACTCGCAGGCGGCTTCCACCGTATGCAAGTTACTGTCCTCCGTACCTGGCCCGGGACCAAGCCAAAAAGGCGAGTCGAACGATGTCCCCCCAGGCCGGGGGTCGAGGATGAGCTGCGGATCGGCTAGTGCAGAGCAAAACGTCTTGGTGCTAGGCCGGGCCAAAGCTGCGAGTAGAAGGTGGGCTCGGAGCAGGGAAGCGGGTCGAGATGCAGGCATCGTAAATTGCGTCCTTGGCCGGGCCTGGGCTAGGCGGCATTGGGGGTAGGACTGGGATTGGGATTTGGGATTGTGGTCTGTGAGGGCGGAATGAGAGGCAGGATGAAGAAGAGGGCAAAGAGGCGATGGAGGCGGTGGCGCGAATCAGAGGGAGGCATCGTGGGTTTCTGCCTTGTGGGAGAGGAGCGCATCAGCGAAGGAGCATGTTGCACAACAAGACCACCACAAGACTTGACGTGGGAGACATACAGACCTGCACGGTAACTTGTGCTCCTGCCAGCCAGCAATATTACTCGCAACCGGCCCCCGTATCATTCATGGCTAATCTGCTCTCAGGGGGGGCGAGCTGCAGGGCCACGGCCAGTGGCGTCAACCTGCCTCTGATAGCAACCGCGATATCGAGACGTGAGAGCCGGCGGAGCTGTTGGTCGGGCTGATTGCTCGACGATGGACTGTCACTGGTTGGCTGGCTGCAGATCGGGCGAGCAACAGAGAGAGGCAGACGACGACGCGGAAAGCTGCATCTCAGAATGCACGATGGAAGCAAGATTTCATCAATCTGCCCGTGCCCAAATCCGAATGACACACAGACCCTCGGACGCACCCATTCCCATTTTCTTCGTGTCCGGGCTAGCGACGGTTCCTTGCAAGGTTGTTCTGCACCGTCAGGCGAACCCTGGCTCCTGTCGTCTCTCTCTCCGTCTTCTTCTGCTTCTCTCGAAGAAACAAGGCCAGCCAACCCGCACATGCATCTTCGAGGGTCAGAACCCCACCCCGTCTCCTTGCCCCTGATAATCAATGCTACCTTGATTACGAGCAGGCTAAAGACAGAGCGAGAGAGACAAGAGTCGGAGAATCTGCATCTCGGGAAGGGCCTCGCCTAGGCAACACAGTGGCATTTCGCGGTCCGGCGCCACTGTGGCCTGGATGGACAGATGGAGTAGTCCGTCTGTCGTCTCGGTCGACCAACTGCGTAGAATCGCGGGCTCATTTGCGCCTAGTGCTGGCATGCTGCAGCTCGGCAGCTTGTGCGCGTCACGGTAAGCGGTAGAGAGGCATCAGCAGCATCGGCGTGGGATTTCGGAGGGAAGAGAGTGAGGAGAGAGAGAGGGGAACGCCTTGTCGGTCAGCATGCCTGTCTGACCGCCACCTACAGGTATCGAATCGTCCAGCTGAATCGACTCGCTGGCCGTGTTTGATCAATGATGCCTGGACGCGCGATGATACACCTGGAATTCCTGTATCTCGTGCGGATGCAACCGCCAGGGCTGCTATTTCGAGGTGTAGAAACGAGCCTCCCGGACTCCATACAGCCGGCCGCCAAACACAGCTGCTCTGCACCCTGGGTCATTTCCCGGATACCAGAACGGCGGGCCACGGCACGCTTAGAAATGGAATAGAAGTAGAAAGAGAGGCTCCCGGGGGCAGCGAGCGAGAGTGAATCAGCGAAGAGTGGATGAAATGAATCCGAGGCAAGTTGAGGCGCATCTTGTCATGGCGCTGGTGCCAGTTGCTCCGTCAATTTGAGCCGTACTCTCGAGGTACTCGCGCTTGCATTGGTACTTGTGCGGGTGCTGCATCGCGGGGGGGCATAGACCGGCAAACAGGTACATGCAAAGGCTCATCTGGCCGCTGCAGGTACGAGGCCGGTACTCGTCAACGTCTCGACGGGACCTGATCTTGCCGGTTCCCCTTGCAGCACAGCACAGCGCAGGCGCGGCCAACTGGCAGGACGGGATGCGCTGGAGACGCATCATTCAGACGCCCGCATCCATGCAACTGACGCCGTGACGCAAGGCCAAGTCAGTCAGCGCCTTTATCTGTCTGTCTGTCTGTCTGTCTGTCTTTGATTCAACAGATTGCGAACATCAGTAGTCTACAGGTCTAGCTCCCGACATCTTGGGCGTCACATCTCGCAGTCGAATCGCCAGATTGATATCAGCTGCTCTAGCAGCTCTAGCGGGCCACTGGACGCCTTTAGCACGGCGCCCCGGCCCTAGAAGCGCAGCTGCAGCTGCAGGTGTCCAATCGCCGCAGGCTCAACTGCGCTCGCGCTCAGGGCCTCTGCGCTGGAGCCCACCGTCAATTTCCCGCAAATCCGCCCCAGGCACCCCAGCCGGGCTAGAGCGCTGGCCCGCCCACTGCCCACTGCCCACTGGCCCTAACCAGCCCGGGCCATTGAGCCCCCCTGGAGCGCCTGCTGGGGTGCCGGGATAGGAGCTAACGACCGCTCCAATGCACTGTAGCCTCTCCAGGTCGCTGCCGCCCAGCCCAAGAAGGCACGGTACCTGCCCGGCCGTACTTGGTCCCTCCAGCTCTTGGTTCCCTTCCAACCGTTCCATTTCCCCCCCAATCCAACCAAGCCAGCGCAATTCTCTCCTTCTCCTCTCCCTCCGCTCTCCACAGTCCCAACCGTCGTCAATTCGACTCGCCTCGATCTCGACTCTCCCCGACGACGAACCCGCCAAACCCGCCGCCAAACCTCCTTCGCCCGCCTCCCATCTCGATCCTCTTCACCCGCCCGCCGTCGATTCGCCATGAATTCGCAGCCCAACGATGTGTCGCCCGAGGCGATGCAGGCGCGCATCCAGCAGGCGCGTCGCGAGGCCGAGACGCTCAAGGACAGGATCAAGCGAAAGAAGGACGAGCTGGCCGACACCACCCGTATGTTGCTTTTCCGCTTCTCTCCGTTTCTCCCGACGAGACTCTGCGTCTCTCCTGGCCTCTCAATCGACGCGGCGCCACGGCCTGCGATGATTCTGTTGCCCGCCAGTCTTGTCAAAGAAGGGGAATGAAACGACAGTTTAAAAAATTAGAAAACGTTCTGGCGATGCTAACCCGGTCGTCTTCGTCCTCGCCCTCTAGTCCGTGCTGTCGCTCAGCAGGCTCACGAGCCCATCCCCAAGAACCAGCTCATGCGGGCGAAGCGGACGTTGAAGGGCCATCTGGCCAAGATCTACGCTATGCACTGGTCTACAGATCGTCGACACCTTGTTTCGGCCTCGCAGGATGGAAAGCTCATCATCTGGGATGCTTACACCACTAACAAAGTTCACGCCATCCCGCTGCGGTCATCATGGGTCATGACGTGCGCCTACGCCCCGAGCGGCAACTTCGTCGCTTGCGGTGGTCTTGATAATATCTGTTCCATCTACAACCTGAACCAGCAGCGCGACGGCCCAACGCGAGTAGCTAGGGAGCTGTCCGGCCACGCCGGCTATTTGTCCTGCTGTCGATTCATCAACGACCGAAGCATCCTCACCTCGTCCGGTGACATGACCTGCATGAAGTGGGACATTGAGACGGGCCAGAAGGTCACCGAGTTCGCCGACCACCTTGGCGACGTCATGAGCATCAGCCTCAACCCGACCAACCAGAACACCTTCATTTCTGGTGCCTGCGACGCCTTCGCCAAGCTCTGGGACATCCGTGCCGGCAAGGCCGTCCAGACCTTTGCCGGCCACGAATCCGACATCAACGCCATTCAATTCTTCCCCGATGGCCACTCTTTCGTCACGGGTTCCGACGATGCCACTTGCCGACTGTTTGATATTCGCGCCGATCGCGAACTTAACCTCTATGGAGTGCGTAGAATCAGCTCTTTTTTTTTTCTTTGTGGAGAGAGGGGGGGCGCTACCTACGAATTGACTTGCTAACTTGATGATGATGTAGTCTGAATCCATTCTTTGCGGCATCACCTCCGTTGCCACGTCCGTGTCCGGACGCCTGCTCTTCGCCGGTTATGACGACTTTGAGTGCAAGGTAAGCTCTTCTCAACTCGTGCCTCCCTTTGATCTACAATACTAACCCGCGCATCAGGTCTGGGATATCACACGAGGCGAAAAGGTCGGCTCACTGGTAGGCCACGAAAACCGTGTGAGCTGCTTGGGTGTGAGCAACGACGGAATCAGCCTGTGCACAGGTTCATGGGACTCTCTGGTACGTTGAACAAGGCTGCAGCTCTCCTCGAACTCGACACGGCTAACCTCCTTCGCAGCTCAAGGTCTGGGCTTATTAGAGTGCCTACGGCTGAGATACAGATGGACTTGTTGTCGCGTTTGCCGACTCGAGTCTTAACCCCCGCGAACCTTTCTTCACCATCCGCATTCAAACGATCATATTACCCGCCAATTCGGACCCCCGACTACGCATATCTGGCTTGCGAATACTGGCGTACGCAGGACGAAGTGACGAAACGTGCCCTACTTTAAACCGAATCCTTTTTTTCTTTACATCTTATCTATTTTTGGCCGATGCATGAGCCTCTGCCCAGGTCTCGCGGAGACATACTCCGATTCTTTCGGCGACAGTCGGGAAAGGAAACCGGCCGACTTGATACCTTTTGTTTCCCCTTTCCCTCTCTCCTTATCTTCTGATTTCCTTATTATTTATTTTTTGTTCCCTCCCGCCTGATCCCCCCAAAAATTCTTTGCACATTAGTTTTTCGCGTTTTCTGATAAGCTCTGGGTAGTTGGCGACGGGCCGGGTGTTGTATTACTCGATGGTTATTTCTATGTCTTCGACTGCCTCTGTATGCGTTCCAGCTCGTCTGCGGTCCTTTTGCCGCCGGCGAGCTGGGTAGCTCAGTGATTTTTAGAAGGGCGCGCATACTACAGAGCCATGAGAAAAAAAAAATTCTGGAGAGCAAGGGGAGGAGTGGGGTTTTTTTTTTTCGTTTTGTTGGAAGGAAATCAGGTGGAGAGGGGAGGATGCTTTCTGTGGTTTGGTAGGGACGGGGTGGGATGTGGGTGACTTATAACAAAGGAGCAGATTCCAAAGCTTCCAGATAATACAGTACGATGATTCAACAAGACACACACAGCGCCACGCTTTTTCCTTTCTTCTGCCAGGACGACGTTCAAGGGGGTACGGAAGCAACAAGTGGGGGTGATGGAAGAGGGGGGGAGGAGGTCGGTGAGCGGATGATGTTGAGCGGTTGGGAGGGTGGAATACAGCGATACCATGGGGAGGATTCGTTTTTGGTTTCTTTTATTCATTTGCATTTGCTCGGCTGAGATATATCTGTTTAGTGTTACTATGCTTTTGCTAATATGTTTATTTCTGAATGAGATGTTCTTTTGCTGTGTGGTACTTGTTGGATGAGGGATAGATAAACAGTTTGATATTTGAATAGAGTTTCGCCTCTTTTGCCTTGAGGTGATTCATCATAGTGCTGAATGGTAACAATGGTTCTTGTTGAGTTTCGGTGTTTATTGTTTACGCTGAGTTTGAATTGAAAATGGAGTTTGGAGTGGAAGGAAACATAATATGGTAAAGTACCTAGTAGCAAGTGGTATGTTGTCAAAACCATTCATTCTCCGTATCGTGGTTTTCCTCCTGGGACTGAAGATGCAGACATGATTGGCATAAGGCCGCGTTTCTGCATGCAGTAGATTGTCGAGAACATGCAAAAACAGCTCGTTACCGAGTTATCATGAGAATGGCATAGCCTAGTATAAGAAGCATAATGGACCACAAGACTGAGATGTGTAAAGAGTCATCCTCGATAGATCAAGCTTCCCGGAAAAGGGGACTTACTGGAAGAAGCCCCTTCCTCGTATAAAGTAATGATGAGATTCTTGACATGGTGAGAGGACTTGCTTGTTCAGGCAACGAAACCTTACAAATGAAACCTTTGTATACCCCGTGATATGGTGTCTGCCTTTATGAACATTGAAGTGCTGAAAGAAGAGTGCTTCGAGCTGTTGGTGGATTGCCATGTAAGTAGGTAGGTGGTATAGCGTGGCCAGCTCCATGGAGCCATCTGAACATTGAAGGCGTCAAACGCACCGACAGTAAGGAAACGCTGTATGATTCCCAGAAACATGTAAAAGATGGGGAGAAACAGGTTCAAACACTAATTGATGAATGGCTTTTTTCGTCTGCCTCCTAGAGAAATGACGGGACCTCCCCCTTGGGATGGGGCTTGTAGGTTGTTTTTCGATGGGAATCGTCGAGAAGTTTTTCTCAGGTTGATGCGCTTATGTTTTGCATTTTGGCGGTTTCTTGGATGTACTGTAGTACGTGCTATTTTGACTGAGGACGTGACGGCATTTGGGGATATTTTATCCTGGGTTAAGAGGAGGTCTGCATAGTACATGTAGGTAGGCGAAGTAAACGAGCTCGGCTAGAAGGTCACAGTAGAGTACCTTACCGGGGTATAGTGCGGCCTTGCAACTCTAGTAGCCATCACTAAATTTGCTCCTATAAAAATCTATTTACTTACACTATGCTTACAGCCAGCACTAAGTTTACAGGCTGGTCTAAACTTGCAGAGGGATAATACAGCTTTCTAATTAGCTGATTTAGAAAAAGAAGAGATACCTAGTAATACTAGGAAAAAGCTACTGCATTACTTATATTTATTCTACCTGCTTACTTATATGCCTACCTTATAGAGTATATATGCTACCTTTATAATTTTCACCTTATCTAAGCCACAGCAGCCTATCTAGCAGCTAATCTAGCCAATCTAGCAGCTAATCTAGCTAATCCAGCAGCTAATCCAGCAGCTAATCTAACTAATAGCAGCAGCGCTAATAGCGTATATATATGCATGCATGTATAATGCAGTAAAACCTATAAAGTAGTATGAAAATTAGTATTATAATATAGCCAGATGTAAGGCATTAATTAACCTTATAATATATGCAGCTTAGATAATAAAGATAATAAAAATAAAGAAGATAGAGATAGAAGAAAAAATGTAAAGATAAGGCCTGCTAGTGCCTAAGGCTTTAAGAAGAGGCAAGCAAGAAGTAAGAGAGAAGGCAAAAGCAACATAAGCTTAGCAAAGGGCATATATCTTGCTACAGATTTTATTATAAAAGCTATATTAGCTCTGCAAGCTTAGCGACCTCTGCAAGTTTAGAGCTCTCTGCAAGCCTAACGTGGTCTTGCAAGTCTTGTGGCATTATGGGTTTTCCTAGTAAGGTATTTATAGTAGTGAGCAGCGGATGACGATGGCAAGACAAGACCATACTAAGCTCATATGGAGAAATCAGAAAAGAGGTCTGTAATGTTTATAGAGCCGTAGCATGGATTCAGCACATATAGCTTCAGGGTACCCAGATATGCAGGTAGAGTTTCAGTGTGATTAACCGTGGGCTTGGCTCCGCGGCACCTCACATCCGGTTCCGCAGCACCTCGATACACTGTATTGACTGTGCGATAAAGTACTCTTTACAGCGTAAAAACTCCTACATATACTATACCTGTAAGACTTCCCTTTACATAGCAGCAATATCGCATAGCTGTACGTAGGATTGCAACTTTACTGTAGTGGTTAGAACACTACACTGCTATAAGAGCAGCTCTACTATAGTAGCTAGAACACCATACTGCTGTAAAAGCAGCTCTACTATAGTGGCTGGAATACTACTAGATACTGCTGTAAGAGCAGCTCTACTGTAGTGGCTGGAATACTACTAGACACTGCTGCAGAAGCAGCTTTACTGTAGTAGCTGGGATGCTGCATGCATAGCTATAGGATTGCAGCCCCTTATAGCAGCTATGTTAGTGCTGTAATAACACCTTGACTTTTATAGCTACTAGGTGTGGTATGTTAACTACCTCTATCTCTTTGAGTGCGCGAAGGGACCACTCAGGTATCTTTAAAGGATTAAACTAATGAGGTTAATTGTTTGAGCCAGAACTTTAATCTTTACGTTAGATGTATGGGAACTAAAGTATTATTATGATAGGATTTACGTGGAGATACTTCGGTAATGGTCTGATAGTCTGCCTAGTGCAAGTACGTGAAGGTAGATGCGATTATCTCGATAATATGGAGAAAGTGACCTGGGTGGTCCTTTCGCGCACTTAAAGGGATAGCAGAGTTGCGATCTTGCAGTAGTAAAGTCAGGTAGAGACCTGCTTATACAGTAAGTGCGATAAGCTAAAGTACTGTGGGAAGTGTGCCTTATCTTGTACCTCATATATAAAAATGTACCTTTTGAGGTGCTGCCGATATGGATGTGAGGTGCCGCGGAGCCAGACCCTTAACCATCCAGGCAACACCTCAGATCAATCGTTGCCCACGCAACGCCTCTCAGCTTCATGCATCCCATCTAAGCACGATGAAGAGCCTCCTCATTGTTGAACCTCCGCTCCAACACCCAGAGAGCGAAAGACTAGGAGGATATAAATAATGCGGGCTGCAGCCCCGTTTCATCGGGACGCCGCATGCATGGCGTATAGGTAAGGTACATGTACACACGGAGTGTTCGCAATGATAGAATCGGGACTCGTCGATAAGGTTGCATCAAGACGCCCGCCTCCAGGCTCTAGCGGAGCCGAAGAAGGGGGGGGGGGGGTGTCTCTTTCTTGTAACAACTGTAGAAGATCTCGCTGAGGGACGCGCAGCCTCGCCGAGCCTCGACGTTGTTGGATCTTTGAGAATGGCGCCTGCAGAGGCGTGCGTCACGGGCATCGAGATGAGCATGTCGTTTGAGGGCAGTCACAGCAGATGATAAAGCACGAAGCACTGTCTAGTTAGAGATATTCATAGTCGTAGCTGATCTCACTGTAAGCGACTCCGGCTGTCTGATGCAAGCAACAGTCCAAGGTAAAATCACATCATCAATCGAAATCCGCATTGGCTGCGCCACATCCCATTTTCTCATCTGAATCAACCAGAGACAGGACTAGACTAGACCAGACTAGACTAGGGGTCTGATATTAAACAGGCCTCGGATCTGCACGAGAAAGATGAAACGGATCCTGAAACAACAAGGGCATGAACTGGGCCTTGCCTGATCAAGGCTAGCGCGCATGGGCAGCAATACGACGACATGGAGGCATGAGATGCTTCTCGACGGCCAGCTCAGCTCATCTCATTCATGGTGTACTCGCATCTGGCCTGGGAATGCCGACGGTGGGCTGTATTTCGTTTCCACGTCGCAGCACGCCGTGCTTTGTAATCTCGAGGCTCAAGGTTATGGCCTCGGCAGTGATATTGATGGCGGCAGTCGAGATGAATGGATGGCTGGACACGGCTCGCAAACGCGAGTACGAGCCGTCTCTTTGTCAACTGCCGTTTGCTCTCTCATTTGCAGCCACGACACGAATTTCATGCATCAGCGCCCATCCAAAGCATCACGGCAGACCGTAGCAAAGCGTCCTCATCCCATCAGCTTCAGGGCCTTCGGAAATGAAGCAGTCATCAAGAGACGCAGGTGCCAACAAAGTGCATGTAAGCCGACGTTCGCCATGGTCGACCACGTCAGCCAAACCGCCCAGCTACAGCCAGGGGTCTTCTCTCTATCTCTCTTTGTTCTCTCACCGTATCAGCATTCCTCCGACGTAGGGCTGCTCGGCAGTGCTTGAAACATACCGCCTGTCTGAGCCCACAATGCGTATTCCTCGCCAGCCCAACCAACGCGAAACAGGTCATCATGCGCATGAAGAGGCTGCAACCGCGATCACACTCAGCCGCCCGGTCAGACGAGGTTGTCCACTTGATTTTCTTCGACACATCCCTGTTTGCCCAAGAATAGCATGGCACATCACGTAGGAGATTAGATATCCATGCAAGAGGAGGAGGTTAGATAGGATGCGGGGATTGTGCGAATCCTACCAAACATTCCTGAGCTTCCCAACATTCCATCTCGTCTGGCCAGGTCATCCCGCGCTTGGGCTTCTAGAAGGCGCAGAATCAGCAAGGAAGCTGTCATCTAGTCCGTATGATGCTGCCTGTGCCTGTTGTCAAAAACAGGGTTACTCATCTCGGTCTCTCCATGTGTAGAGGCCAAGAAGGCGATCCGTGAAATGGACTGGTTTCAATGCGAGGCTCAGCCGTCAGTCGTTCGTTTTCTTGGCGCCGGTGGTTCGACGAGGAGCCACATGCCACCCCGGCTGTGGGCGACGATGTGATGATGGGGAGTGTGACGTTGGGCGCCGTTCATCTTTCCTTCTAGCAGCGTTCTGGCAGGATTCTGGCATGGCCGCATTGACAAACCACTCGTGCTCGTACAAGAGGTGCAAGGATGATCCCGGGCTGGGAGTGTCGACGCATGAATAGACCTTCAGCCTCGTCGAGCCGGTGCTTGTAGTAGTGGTGATATTGGGAGTAAAGCTCGGTGTACTCCGTAGAGCTGTCGTATGGAGCGCTAATGCGTAGCCTCGGCGGCCCTGATGATGCCATCTTGGTGTTCTTCAGCATGGCTTGATGTTGCTGCAGACAGACCATTTACAGCAACTTACAGGCATCGCCTTGGTCTTGTTAGGGCTCGACAGCCGCTAACATGCTTCATGCGCCTGCGCCACAAGCCCCGCGCCACTATCCTCTTTGGCCGTGGTCTCCCGTACCTCATCCCTGCCCCAAGCCCACCACAACGCCAAACCTCGCCAATCACAAGCCCGGCTCACGCTTCTTCCCTTTGCAACCCGCTCCAGGCTCGGCACTGCGACCGCTGGACCTCGTGCGAAAGCCCTGCCCTCTGGTCTTCCCCCCCCTGTCGGTTGGCAGATGGACCGCGATCTGCCTGCTGAAACCGCTTGTCGCATCAAGAAAAGGGGGGCGTGCGTTTCTGGTCAGGGGCCCCGTTTTGTTGGCTGCTCGACCGTCTCTCGCTCTCGCCGACGATTCCATCTCTTGCAACTTCTACCCAAATAGCCGCCCTCACTTGCTGCCTGATCCGAGCGCCCTGTTGAGCAAATCAAGAGTCGCAATCGACGCTGTTCTGTCTCAGCCCCTTGCCCGCCTGCTCCGCTTCTTCGAGAAACGCGTTGCCCGACAGCCAGTCGACGCTTCCCCACGCCCCCTCCCACACGTCTCTGTCTTCGGCTCACTCGACAACTTCGAACGGCCGCTGGTTCGAGCTTGCAACCGCGACTGCTACATACACCCTCATCAACCATCTATATAACGAGCCTCAGCCGCTTCAGCCTTTCAAGATGCCGACTGAAGCTCAAGACGAATTCGACAGACTTGTCGCCAGCAACACTCATCGCGAGACCCTTCACCCCGAGGATCGTGACGACGCCGACTCGCAGCACGGATCCGACCTCTCTGAAGAGGAACAATACCGCAACCAGAAAATCGAAGAAGCCATGCGGATGCCCACTGCCGCCAGCGAGCTCAAGCTCCCTCCGGCGTCGTTTGACAGCGGCCGCTCCACCGGTGTCAAGGGCGTCATTGCCGATGCCCGAAGCTATGAATCCGCCCGCAGGACGAAATGGAGAAGCCGCGCCATGTCCGTTCGCAAGAGCGTCTTTGGCGCCCCGCGCTCGAATGCCGATAAGAGCGAGAGCGAGAGCGAAGAAGCCATCTTCAGTGGCGGCGACGACGACGAAGAGGAGTTCCTGAGCCAGTGGAGAGAGGCCCGGAGACAGGAGCTCGAGAAGGAGGCCGGCCAATCCATTCGCACCAGAAGGACAAGCCCTAGCACGCGGATATATGGCCGCCTGGACGAGGTGGATGCCCTGGGCTACCTGGACGCCATTGAGAAGGTGAACAGAGAAACTACCGTTGCCGTCTTTGTCTACGACCACGAGGTGAGTCACACGTTTCCTTATTTTTTCCTTTCCCCCTTCACTTCCATGATGGTATTCTAACGTCGTCCAGAGCGAGGTCTCCTCGGCAATCGAGTCAGTGCTGCTGCCCCTGGTCAAGACGAACCCGTCGGTTCACTTCGTCAAGGTCCACTACGAGGACATTGAGTTCGACAATGCTGCCGTGCCTGCCATTCTAGCCTACCGAAACCAGGGAGATCTGTTCGCCAACCTCACCGGCATTATCGAGATGATGCCGGATGATGAGCACTTTGGCGCCGAGTCGCTGGAAAAGGTCCTCAAGAAGCACGGCGTGCTGTGAGGCCGGACTTGCACAATAATTTGCACATCTTTAAACCTTTCTGCGTCATCGCGCGTTATCTTTCTCATCTCTTCATTTTGTACGCCATTATTAATCAGACGGCTCGCTTCGGCTACGACGTATTCGGATAGCATCATCGTTTTGGAAAAAGTCGCCTCTATCTGCTTTTTTGCTCAGCCTCCTGGCCGAACCCCGGCCGCCGGGCCTCTTCTCCGTGTCACAACATCTACGCGAAGATACCCCACTTCGAATTTATCTCTGCTTGGCTGCCGGGGTCATGGACTTGGGTTGGTTTTTACCCCTGGGCGGTTGGTAGGGGCTGCCGTTCCCAACGCTGGACCGGACCCCTGCCCCGGCGAGGGCTCCGTCTATTTCCGCCTTTTTCTCTTTTCTTTGTTTTGTTCTGCTTTGAATATGTCTTTCCGGCTTCGGCCAACATGGAGTTTGAGGGAGACCGGGGGACACGGGAAAAAAATCCATTATAGACGGGGAACGGCACGGGTATCATGTCGGAATGTCGGAACGATTCTTGCTTTTTCTTTGTTTTGTACCACATGCTACTGCAGGCTGCAGCGGGTTATGCATGGGGACTGGTGGTTACGACTGGTTGGGACGGGGTACAGTAGATAGGGCTGGTTACGGTATATGCCGAAGCGACATCGGCCCGTATGAAATCAGAATTGCATATTCATTTCAAACAAGGCAGTGTACTGAAGCCGTGACTCTATGATTTCGGACGCTCAACATGAAGCATGCTTATTCAGTTATTCCGCATCAGTCACGGCTAGGTAAGCCCTCACCGTTGTCTAGATAGGTAGAGGTGTCAACTGAAGCTTCTGATAGAGAATGAGAATCGCGAGCTACTTCACATGAAGCTGGGTGCGACGCCGAGGACGGAGAAGAGCACAGTTCGAGGCAGGATGTCGAAGCACTTGGAGGCTTTTGAGTGGCTTTTGATTAGGTACTAGCTTGAGGGAGCAATTCAACAGGTGGGCTAAGCGGGCTTGAGGGAACTTGCTTTTGGGAGTAGTAGTAGTAGTAGCTCAGCAAGAGACGTTGAGTACGGCTCCTTGGGGTTAGACGCCTAGCCAGCCCCTTTACGAACCATTCGAACAGAGCTGCGACACGTTTTGAGGAACAAAAAAGAGACGGTAAAAGAAAAGAATTAGAAAAAAGGAAATAAAGAACAACGGGCTGCAGCAGCAGTTTGTTTTGTGGACTCCCCGCATCGAAGGGATCGAGAAAGGAGTAAGAAAAAAGATAAAAAAGGGGCCCCCGCAGGCCGCGGATGGAGACGCAACGATTTGGGAAGCTTCGGGACGGCGGGAAGGGAAGAGGGGAGGGTCCACAGTGGGAGGGGGGGAGAGATGCACTGACGTGTTGTTGAAGGGATTGAAGCGAGCACATGTCAGATTTAGGAGGAGGGTGAGCTTTATTTGGTGCGTGTTTGATGCTGCTGACGTTGGTCTTGATGTTGGTCTTGATGGGATGCTGGGATGGGATGAGATGGTGATGAAGTTGATGGATTTGTCGTCGGTTGTAAACAGAAACGTATTCAATATGACTTGCCGCGAGATTGAAAGCTTGATATTCACGACGCTCCGAGCTATTCAGTTTTCAAGTACATGTTCTACGTTACACATCATCACGACGGACCCCTCACTTGGAGTACAACTAATACTGCACATTCGCCCTACGCAGGACACACCTACCTTACCTGCAAGCCTTCACCACCAACCAGGGGACGCGTGTGTATTATCGCCGCTGGGACCTTGCATGCCTGGGTCGTTGCGGTGCCTGGCCCTGCCTACCTATGTCAACTCGCTCCTCTCTCCATCGCAGAAGTTCATTGCGAGATTCACAGGATAGGCACCTCCTTGAAGAGACTCGAGTTACTGCTAGCTAAGCCAAGCTGGAGAGGAACTACAGGCACCTGCGTTTAGCTGAGCCGAAACCATGAAAAGCCACCCAGTACTTATCAGGCGCAGGCTCCACCATGCCTTCATGTTGTCAGTGTGTGTGCATTGCATTGTAGCCTCGTCTGACATGGATTGCTTTGCCTCGTTTGATTTGACTCTGCTCAGGCTGTTGGCGCATCTTCTTTCCCTTGGCCCTCAATCTTGACGTGAGACAGCCTCCTCTCGCTCCGTCCGCCTGTCAACCTGTCAAGCCGTCAATCACTGGGCCTACCTACTGGACTAGTAGTAGCTCCGTCCCGTCTTCTCTCCATCTTACACCCAAGACAAGTCTCAACTCGGACAATTGCCTCGCCTGCTGGGTCACGCGCAGAAGCTCCCTGCCTGCCCCCCGCCATCCCATTAGCCCAACCGCCAACCCCACCAGCGATCCGTAGGTGCCAGATAGCGCCCTCGCCCGCTGAACCTACAGCGCCATCAGGCAGCCTCGGGTTCCCGCAGGCATCAACTCAGCCGCTCACTTCGTGCCTCGTCCAGCTTCACGCGCGGCTTGCCTCGCCTCTATTCTCTGTTCCTTTTGATTGCCACAGGCTCTTCTTGAGGGCCGATCCTCTTCCTCATATTCTGCTCTATGCTCTCTTCCGGCCCCTCGCGAGCCCTCTTCCTGTTCATCTGCCGCGGTTAGTCGTTTCCTTGTTGCAGGTTGCCGGCCTCTGTGACCTCACCCTCCATTCATCCCCCCCCCCCAGCTCAGCCCCTCCCCGCCGCTCCTCCTTGCCCCCTCCAACATCAGACCTACCGCGCGCACGCATTTACAGCATCTCTGCCTCTGCCATCTTGCACCTACCACCGTCGCCGCTGAGAAACGAGCTGCCCGCGACCTGCTTGATTCATGGGCCCGTCGACGAGTCATCGCTTGGGTGCGTGAGATGGTCCTCGAACTGACCACAGTCACTTCGTGATGGAACAGAGTGAAACGTCACCACGCCCGCCTTGCCGTCGCGATACTTTGCTTGCCCGAGTGAGCAGTCCCGCGGCTTCGAACCAGACGCAAACGCAACCACAATCTTCACCACCTTCGCCGTCGTCGGCCAACGCAGAAACGCCCGCCGCAGCAGCTGCAGGACTCTCTGCCTCTGAGCCCACGCTCCGCTTCCCCAGGCCGCGCGTGAACAAGCAGCTGGCGAATTGGATATCGAGCAGCAACCCCAACATCATGGAGCTGGCTCCGAACCACGACGACAACGGCCTGAGCGAGTCAACCTACGAGCTCGTCTCGGGTCCCAACACCGACACCGAGGAGTCTCCGGATGACAACTACCCCGGCTCCATCAGCGAGTCCGTGGGCTCGCTCGACCGGGCAGATGATGTCCGGAGCTTGGACGGCACGGATGACTCGTACGAGACCGAGTCTGCCGTTGACGATGGCGCATCGTCTGACCGCGATGAAACCGAGGAAGAAGAGGACGACGAGGACTCGGTGCACGAAGACACCGTGCTGGCCGAGTCCCAGATAACAAACGAGGACAACAAGCTCGAGCCCTTCCCGGTCTTCGAGAACGATATCTACTCGCAGTCATCGCTCGAGTATACGCATCAGAGCCTGGGGACCCCGTCCTTCCCGACTCCCGACGCCAGCCGAGTCATCGAGCGGCCCGCCGATGATGAGAAGAAGAAATCGTGGAGCACCAAGGCGTCCGATGCTTTGGAGGCAACCAGGCTTCTATTCAAGGAGGCTGGGCTTGAGGCGACGTGGGAGTTTTTCCCCAGCTTCATGTTCGTCCTTGTCGCCCTGATAGGCCTCCACATCTTCCTTCCAGCATCCCCATCCTCTGGTGCGGACAAGCAAATGCCGCCCCCCATCACCGCGACAGTCACGACGACGTCCTATCTCACCTCTTCTTCTTCGTCATTACCGACTTCCAGCAGCAGCAGCCTTGTGCCTTCATCTACCAACGGCGTGGCCCTGATGCCCATTAGCGATGCCCAGTCAGTCGACTGGATTTTCGGCGCCAAGAGGCCGACCGTGTCATTCACTGCCGAAGCAAATAATGAGATTGTGATTCACATTCCCGAGAACATCAAGAAGACGTGGCTGACCAAGGACTGCCTGACGGTGACTACCAAGAGAGACGAGGTCCTTGTCGACACCACCGTATCGCCGGTGGACGAGGGCCTCCGCCTCAAGTTTGCCAAGAGAGATTCTCACGGCGTCATCAGCGTCGTCCTCGAAGCCAGCTGCCGCCCAAAGATTCACAAAGTGGTTAAGGTCCGCTTTGTCAAGGGCTTGATGGAGGGCGCTCTGGAGCGGACCAAGCATCTTGCCCACGATCTCTCGGGCCTCGTACCCGCGGCTGCTCAGGAGGCAGAGCGGTGCATCGAGAATGCAAAGCAGTCACTGGGCTCGGCATGCCAAAACGTCTGCCACACAGTCAGCGAGACCGTCTCCAAGACTTTTGGCGGTAAGCTGGCCAGCATCGCAGATGTGCGGCAGCACCTGGGAGACCTTGCCATGACGGCCAAGGCGCAGTTGGATGAGGCCGCCAGCAAGATTGACGTGAGCAAGATCGAGTCTCTGCTTAAGAAGGATCTGCCCTGGGTGAAGGACGCCCAGAACAAGCTGCAGCTCCAGCTCCTTGACGCCCAGCTGTCGGCCAAGCTCTGGTGGCTGCAGGCCTTTGGCAGCGCCGAGGAGCACGAAGAATATCTGCGCAAGGCCAAGTCCTATTCGGCCGACAAGCACGCCGCGGCCGCAGAGATGAAGCACGCCGAAAAGGACTCACCCGAGCTGTTGAAGTCTGCCTCACGGTTTTGGGCCAGACTTGTAAATCAAGCCGCACCATAAGGGTGTCTTGTCTTGGGGCCCTTTTGCCATTTTCCTTTACCCCTTTTCATTGTGCAACCATGGGAATCCGCGAGGATTTGGTACATGTTTTTTATGAACTTGAACGAACAGACACAGGTTGGAACGGCTGGATGGAGTTATGGATTTTCTTGATATTTTACCATCCTTCTTTTTTTTTTCCCCCTCCATGTGGCAGCTTTTAGGTTGTGACTGATGGCAAGGGGATGGCTTATATTGAATGGCAATGCAGAGAGGGGCAAATACATGTGCTACTTTATCTGACTAACTGCTGTGCTCGAGCATGTCGTGATATGGTAGGGGATACACAATGACACGAGCCTATGTACACGGGCAACATGAGCTTCTTGCTGTGGTGATGAGATGTCTGATGTTTAATAGCATGAGGCTATTTACATGGGCATCCACGAGCCTCCCGATGTTTGTCCAATCTTGGCAGATGTCCTGTAGCAGCCTACATACCTTAGCCTTGAACTGATACCTTACAATTGAAAGGCGTACTGAATTTACCTACCTTAGTACTTATCCCCGTCTCGGCATTCTGAAAGAAGTAGTAGTACTACCTACACATCTGTATGTCACTTGATCACCCTCCATCTCGCATCGAGGCAAGGTACTTTAGTTCATGCTCGTTAAATAGCTCACAGCCACGTGCCGGCGACTTCTTTTATGTTTCTCGGCCCTTGGAGTACCTCTCCCTGGATATGGCATGAACAGCGTTTGCCTTTGTTTAGCTGTGAAGTATGCTTGTTTGGCGAACCTTGAGATATGAGGCAAATGCTCAACAAATGATGTCGCCACCGGCGTGTGCCTGAACGACCTCGAAGCAACTTGCTGCGTCGTCTTTGGCTGTGCCTCTTTACAGAAATGAATGACAAGGGCCCCGCCACTTGTTGGGGTGGACAGAAATGGAGGGACAGAATGTGCAAATGCGCACCTAGATGAATAACACGGGCATCCGTGTAGGCGAGCATTCGGCATGGTTGGTGTGTAGTACATAGTTGTCCCTTTGTATGCTCATAATTGTGTATTTTCGCCCTTTTCTGTCCACCGCCTGCCAGGCTGAAAGGAGGGGCACGCCAGACACCCAAAAACCTTGGAGCTGCCGCTGGCTTGCACCAACCGCCGACTTGCTTTTTTGCTTTCCCTTCTTTTTTTCTCCGTTCCCCGCTACCCAAGGCAGACGACAACCGAACTCAAGTCAAAAAAGGCTCCGTTCTCTTCTCCTTTGCGACATTGCCGCATCGCCAGCGCTTCCTGTGTGCCCTTTAGGTGAGTCCCCGACGCTGTTGCCGTTCCCCTATAAAGTGCCGCGTTCGCCCACCAGGCGTGGACGGAGGGGAACAGGGAAACCCAGCATTGCTTCTCTGTCCTTCTGTGACCCCGCCACGCCACTACCGACCAAGAACCTGTGTGCCTGTTATTTTATTTTTTTTTCCCCTTCTCTCTCTTCCACTATTTCTCCGCGCGACAACAACAACCAACGACTGACTTCTTCTTTTCTACTTCACGGAAGCAAAATCCTTTTCTTCTCGTTCTTCTCTACCTATTATCAGATCCTACCGCTCTCTTCCCACAACGAAAGATGTCTTCCACCGACGCCACCGAGCCCAAGGTCGAGCAGACCAAGACTGAGGTACGAAGACGCCCTTGACGCAACCATCGACCGACCGTATCGACTTTTTGCGGGATATCTTCCAACTTTTCGGTCGTGTCGTTACTGGTAGCCGTGTATGGTTGTGCTGACCAGGATATGTGTGTGCGTGTGTGTAGGCTCCCGCTTCCGTGACTTCTTCGTCCGTCTTCTCCATGTTTGGCGGCGGCGAGAAGAAGGAGAAGAAGGAGGACGAGGACCGGGGTGACAACTCTGGCAGCGCAAAGGCCCAGCGCGAGGCCAAGGCCGACGAGGTGAGCTTCTTTTTTCCAGCACTCATATTGCGGCCATCCGCTGACATCTTTTGTGTGACTCAACAGGACGAGGCCCCCGAGAGCGAAGACGTCCACTTTGAGCCCGTCGTCAAGCTGACGGAAAAGGTCGAGGTCAAGACCAACGAGGAGTCGGAGGAGCAGCTCTTCAAGATGCGCGCCAAGCTGTTCAAGTTCGTCAAGGCGGCCAAGAAGGAGGGCGAGGAGGCGCCCGCCGCCGCCGGCGAGTGGAAGGAGCGCGGAACTGGCGACGTTAGGCTGCTCAAGCACAAGGAGACGGCAAAGGTGCGCCTGGTGATGCGACGGGAGAAGACGCTCAAGGTCTGCGCCAACCACTACAGTATGTGCTCCCTTGTTATGCTATGAGACGACAAGACTTTGGTCATGATGGAACCGAGTTACTGACAAAGAATGCGCGCAGTTGTCCCCGAGATTTCCCTGTCCGCCAATGTTGGCTCTGACCGAAGCTGGGTGTGGAACGCTGCCGCCGATGTCAGCGAGGGAGAGCCCGAGGCCGTCACCCTTGCTATTCGATTCGCCAACTCCGACAGTACGTCAAACCTTTGCTCTAGCCATGAAAGATTGCGTGTATACGCTAACACGATCGCCTACAGATGCCAACCAGTTCCGGGATGCTTTCCTGAAGGCGCAGGCCGACAGCGCCCACCTCTTCAAGAACTCCTCCGAGGACAAGGAGGAGGAGAAGAAGAAGGAGGAAGAGGAGAAGACTGCCGCTTAGACGACGACGGTTCGTTGCCTGACTGTCGACCGCGAACCAATCATTGCCGCTTCTCGAACCTAATAACCCGCAACACACACACCGCATCAGCCGTTGGCTAAGACACGGAGATGCCTGAACCTAACACCCCACGCCCCATCACATCACAACATGACAAGATACACAAGACGCACAAGACACGGCTCGCCATGGAGCTCTGTACTAGGCCGATGTAGCAGAGAACTGTCGACCTGGAGGACGGAGACTGGAGAGGCCCCCGGGGGAGTGAGCACCAAGTGGTGCATGCCCGAGGAGAGGACGAATAATGGCAATTGATTAGTACAGCACCCTGAAAGAATCAAAAGTTGAATTCAAAGAGCGCTCGTGATGTGTGATGTTTATATGGATTCTATAGGCAATATGGGAAAATGCAGTTTATGAAGCAAAAGTCAACGAAATGTCATACCTAAGGTACCTTACTTAGATCTGGATACGACCGCATTCACGAGAGAGATACTTGAGGTCCAAGTTGGTATCATTTTCTATTACGGCCTGGATGATGCGTCACGAATATGCAACAGAATCGTGCGCCATGAGGGTTTCTGGAAATGGTCGACTTGCTCGTCGTGGGTCCCACAAGCCTATCACCTGCTACCATATATCACGATCATGAGAGGCCAACAAGAATCATCAACGCCTTGTAATACGCCCACTTTCCCTTCTACAATGGCCTATGCCGTGACTAGAAACAGCTGTGGCGCGCGATGGTTGTCATCGGATATTTTGCAAGGGCTTGTATGTTGCGTCACAAGTATACAGCAGAACTCACGAATCAATCGGCGAGAAATGCAGAATATTTTTGAACACCCTAGCTCCAGGCTTTTGGTGATGTCGCCAGACGAGGCGCGCGGTACTTCCGTCCTGGCGAAGCCTGTTCTTTGTTTCTTCTATTTGTTTGGGGCAAAAGATGTTGAGTGATAGCACGTAAAGACGCAAAGAAAGAAAGAAAGCATGGAGGGCAATCAATTTCCGTGCAATCTGGCGTGGCCGACTTGGCGGCTATGACGGAAGACGCCGGGCTTCCACCTGGGTATCACGCTGTCTGTCCACCAACTTGCCCTTCGAGTTGCAATGGCTGCAGAGAGGTTATGGAGGTACAAATATGAGAAAATGCCAGAGTAGTTACTATGTTCAAGAAGCTAGGTATGAGAAATGGAGAGGAAAATAGATGAAAGAGTTTACAGCCGAGAATACTACCAACACGCGCCATGAGGGTTGCATGGTCGACTTTTCTCATCATGAGTCCCACAAGCCTTTTACCTGCTATATCACGATCATAGAGGTCGACAAGAATCATCAGCGCCTTGTAACGCGCCCAAATGCCACGTTACAAGTGCCTAGGTAGGCATGCCATGACCAGAAACAACTGTGGCGTGCGGTAGTAGGTAAGGCAGACATACGTACCTGGTGGTTGGTAGCAGCCCATGGACTGCTAGTGATTGTCTTCTTCGCGCTCTCTCTGTCGTGACGTCTCTTCCTCCGATGATGCTGAGAAGTGGAACCGCTTTGGCCCACGGAAGGAAAAGAGAAGGGGAAAAAATTAAGCGTGTGAGCTGCTGGAAGACGCGGCACCAACTGGAAGGCGGGCGAAAAAACAAGAGCTGGAGGCGTATAATTAGCAGCAGAGGCCAAACTGGGGACGCTTGTTGCTTGGAAAACAGGACAGAGCCGGACAGCCTCAGCCCAGCCCAGCCCAGCCCTTTTCCCTTGTACACGGGGCGCCTCTCTTTTCTCCCTTCACATCCAAGCCGCGATTCTTGCTGCCTTATTACCTGACCTCACCTGATCTCACCTCATTAGCCACAAGAAGAGAAATACCCAGCAAAAGGACGATTCGATTCAGATCTTGACCGGATCGGACAGTCGTCGGAAAGGCAATTCGAGTGCGTCCCGTCCCTCTCTTGAAAGCTTGTTCCCTTGGATCTTCTTCTTCTTCTTCTCCCTTCTCCTTCGTTCCGTCTTCCTCCTCTTCCGCTTTCCCCCCTGCCAATTCCCCCCCTTCGGAGCCGGTGCCCGCGTGTTTGTGTGCTTTTGCGTGTTCGTGCCCGTCCGCGAGTTGTGCGTGAGTGCGTTGCGTGTCTGACAAGGACAGGACAGAGAAGACAATTGAAGAACAGGACAGACAGGCTCTCACTCACTGGACGACAGGCGCTGGAACAAGCCGCTGGACACTGGACGGGAACAACGGCCGCCATTTCTCAAGTCTCTGTGACCTTTCTGACTCCAAGTCTCTTTTTTTTGCACTCTTTCCCTCTTTGCCCATTTTTTGTATCATCCTATTTTTGATTCCGCCTCCGGGGAATTTCGACTTTTTTTTGCCACCATCTCCGTCCTGTATTAGAGGGACCTCTTTTTACTTTTCCAATCTTTTTGAGGGAGACAGGGAACGACGGATTGAAGCATCATGTTGGTCGAGGTGAGTTCTTTTTTTCTGAACACGCGGCTTCCTTTTTTTCTCCTGGTCGTTTGATCCGGTTCGGTTTCGTTGCGGTTCGTGATTGATTTCGGTATTGTTGCCCATTGGACACGGTTTATACATCGTCGAAGCAATATGGCCCTTTTCTTTCCGTCTTTTGCCCCCCTTCCTTTCGGGCTTTCTTTCAAGACGAAAAGAAGAGAGCACGGACACGGGGTCGGGCAGCAGGCGGCAGAAGATGTGCTTTGAGAGGTGCAGGTTCTGAGAATCGCGACAGGACTGGCGGTGGGAGGGAAGAACAAGGACAAGTGATCGGGACGGAGAGAACAACGGCTGCCAGCTGGTGATGGCAGCGTTCGCCAACTGCCAGCCGGTCGTGGGTTTTGCCTGACACCGGGGGGGATTCATTCATTCCCATTGATTGAATGGCCTTGTTCTTTTCCTGCCCTCACTTTTCCTTCTTCTCGCGATGCTGTGCTGCCTTGGGGGATTCCTGCATCTTCACGTCCTTCATTTAAGATCTCTCTCTCAGCTCGCTGGTGGAAAGTCTTTGCCCGTCAACATACGCACATTTCTTCTCTCGCCAAGGCCTCGCCGGCACCTTCTGTTTTGAAGGATATCCTTTGTGCTTCTCATTCTTTTCCACGCGTTCACTTTGGGCAGCATTCACAGCGTGTTTTCCTTGATCTCTTACATCTGGATTCTTTCTTCACGATGATGCTCCGCAGCCGCAGAGGAGCGCCGCGCGCTGCGAAGCTTCGGGGTACGGCCGAGCCTGAAGCTGACGGACAACAGAGGAAAATCAAGGTGGTGACGGAGCAGCACGTCATGTGAGTTTCTTCTACTACGCCCCGAATTCGACTTTATATCCTTTTTCCGCCACGGCGTTTGCCAGCAATTCCTCTTTTATCCATCTGAGGAAAGGACTGAGAGTCATGGCTGGATTCCTTTTCCCTACGCTTCGTCTTCCCTCGTCGAAGCGGCCGTGCTGACCCAATGCTGCAGCGACAAGCCTTCTCCCGTGGCCGAGTTTCCCATGCGGCAATGGAGCTTGCGGCTTCACCTGCTGGATGAGGAGGGCAATGAGCGGCCTGCCGATGTCTTCACCAAGGTCGTCTACCACCTGCATCCCACATTCGAGAATCCCGTCCAGAGTAAGTCAAACGGCGCCGCGGGCTTGATTTCGTTCCCTATTTCATCCTTGTTCCATCTCATCCCCACCCCTTCTTTCCGTCTTTTCCGTCATCTTGCGCAACTCTCTGACATGGCCGCGTAGCCTTCACAAAGCCTCCCTTTGTCTGCTCCAACGAGGGCTGGGGTGAGTTTGAGATCGGCATCGACCTCTACACCACGGAAAAGACCAAGCTGGCCCCCATCATCCACGACCTGAACTTCGCCCAGGAAAGGTACGAGGTCACGCACACCGTGGTCTTCAAGAACCCTTCTCAGGCACTCCAGGAGCGGCTGCGCGAGTCGGGCCCGCTGCCTTCTGACGAGGACCGGCCCAAGAAGAAGGGCATCGCCGGCAAGAAGAGCGCCCAAAAGTACGACTACGAGAAGATTGCCGACGCTCTTGAGAAGCTTGAGGAGGAGGATCTGCTGCGCGTCATCCAGCTGATCAACGAGAACAAGACGCCGGAGACGTATATCCGAAGCGACGTCGAAGGTAAGTCCTGGCATCAGTGTGCTCTTTCCTCCTTTCGGCTCTGTCCACCCCTCGTGTTGATGCCTTTTTTTTCTCTTTCCGGATAGTGAATAACCTGTTTGAAGCTGGCGAATTCTCCATCGATCTGTACACCATGCCGGATACCCTGACGACCAAGCTTTGGGATCACCTGGTAAGTCTGCCCCGGAACATGGCTGATAGGGGTCTGCTCTGACAGCGCGGAATCGCATAGTTGAAGAAGGGTCTTGTCGCCTAGATGGTGCGCCTCTGAGTGCCTCCCACGACCATGAATGCAGGCGGCCGCCGTCGAGATGAGAGTAGCAATGTCTTTGATTTCCTTTGTTTGTCACGGCAGGGAGCATTATGAGAATACGCACAAAGGGCCGATCGATACGACGGAAGTAATTGGTTATATGTACGCAGAGGGTACGAGATGAGGCGGGGGCGCAGACAGCCTTTGGGGGCGCAGAGAAAAATTGCTTAAACGACGACCGCGAAATCGGTCACGTCTTTTTTACCGTCGAATCTACTCGACACTCTACCTCTTCCTTTTTTTATCCCGCTGAAGGCAATACTGGCCTGGGTGCTCTCTCTGTTGCCGTTGCGAAGACTGCGATTGTCCCTTGGTAGTAGGAGGACAATCGTATCGACGTCGCATGCAAATGCACTGCTCTCTCGCTCCATTTCTCTCTTTCCGACACCGATTCTCAACGATACTCGTTCCATAATTCTCATTTATTCCTTGTTTGCTTCACGACGGCTATAGGGCGGATAGCAAGGGGTGGTAGAGGGCATGATGAAAAGGATTGAAGAAGAAAAAAACATTGAGCTCCTGACACTGGGACACTGGGAGTAGGATTTGCAATAATGAGGCGAGGACAAGGAAAAAAAAAGTGTTTGCCGTCTTATAAGATGAGATTGATCTTTATCTCCATGTCTTTTGGTTATTCTTGTTCTGCTGACTCCCTTTATGCTGGCCGCTGTACATTCGATGTTGATGAAGTAAATCGATGACGTTCTTGAGCCGTTGGGTTCTTCAATAAGTTGCTGGTGATTTGATGTATCTGATGTGTGTCTGAGCTGGATTGATGACGTGGAGGTCGATACGCAACTTACATGTATGTAAGGTAAGGTAGTACTAGGTTCAAAGTTAGAACGCATGTGAGCTGATGGTTGCTGCCAGCGGTCCCTTGCAGAGTCATGCAAACGGCGTTAACGAAGATTCAATACAATCAGGTAGTTCGGTTCGTAATTGGTACGTGATGCACTTTTATACAGGGTTTCTGGACATGTGCTTGGCATTGATTGAAGTGCTACTCTTTGAACGGCTGCATTGTCCTCGACGGCCTTGCGGAATACGCCGACTAAGCGTCTCGGGATTCGGTGAGCGGTAATCTGCCCTCATCTCTTACAAAGTACTATATTTCGTCCTTGAGGAGGAAAGAAGCCAGAAATAGTAGCAAGGCATGTCTTATATGCCGGCGAGAAGTCTATTTCCATTTCCATAATAACTGCACATGACGCCGACATCTGATGCCCGCTGCTGATGTGCTGATGCTGATGCCTAACGGCAAGGAGAGTTCGCCAGGGCCCCCTTACATCCCAGAGCCCAGAACAACTGTATATTACATATGAGTACAGCTTTCGAGCAGAGTCCCTCGGTGAGGCATAGTAGGGAAGATGACGACGTGCAAATACCTAAACATCAAAATCACGAACAAAGGACTTCAGGTAAAAGGTACACGGTACGTACATACACAGCCACACACAGTGACCAAGTTCCTTTTCCCGTCAACGTGACCAATCTTTTTGCAAGCCCTTTCCCCAAAAGAAAACCAACTTGCATTTCCGTTCTTTTGCGATTTCAATGGTGGGGGAGAAGAGGTCCCTTTTGCTTTGATTGGCTATTAAGCAAAAGGCAGGTTGTTGGAGGGGGCGCTGATTGGCCGACGCGTTTTGGTGGAGAGGAAGAAGAAGAAGATGCGAGGGGCGGGTCTTCCGGTGGAGAAGGGAAGAAGGAAGGAAGGAAAGGAAAGGCAGTCGGTGCAGTTTGTTGCAGGAAGAGGGAAGGGAAAGAAACGAGACGAGCTGCTGCTGCCGCTGCCTACAAGGGTGCCTACCTATGAATCTATGTGCAGAAGTACGGATTCAGGTACCTAGCTTTAGTTGGGCTTCAAGTAAGGCGCATGTAGTAGTAGGTACCCAGTAGGCATAAGGTACTACTAGGTAAGTAGTGAGGAAAGGTGCAGGTTCACATCAGAGTCGAGCGCCGAGATGGGGTTGGTGCTTTGTAGGTTCCTCCTGCGCTTCTTGTTTCTCTGCATCTTGCCGTATCGCTTGTTAGCACGGGCGTTGGCGTTGGCTTTTCTGGGGGGCAGGAGCGACGCGGGCCGGGAACCATTGAAAAAGAGAGGGGAAGGAGGTACGAAAGTACAAAAGTACCCAAATACCTTACCTCAGGTACCGCGAGAGACTCGGTCGAAATGCGATGCAGTTCTTCTCGCCGTAGGAAGCTGGGAAGAAGAGAACTGCTTCTTTTTCTCTTATTAGGTTACCAAATGTAGTCATGGTGCTGAGAAAGGTCAGCCGGGAGAGAGGAAAAAAAAGTGCAAAAAGAAAAAGACCAAAGTCGAGAGAAGCGCAGGGGAGAACGATCGAGAGAGAGTCCAGAATCGCGATTGGTAAACTGTTACGTCCTCGTTCAGCTGCGCGCTGGCTTCAATTGGCCTTGTAATTTTTTTTTCGCGGTCTCGGCGCAGCCATTCCCTCCTCTTCTTAACACAAACAAAATCTCCCCCGGTTCTCCCACTGTGGCCTCGTCTCCCTTTTTGTCCCTTACGTCCTCTCTTCTGCAGACCAGGAACCAGCGGAAACGGTGAAGGGGAGAAGCAAAAAGAAAGAGGGAAAAAAAAAAAGGACAGGGGGAAATCCAGATCCGGCGACGGGGGGATTTCACTTCGCATCTTTGCCTTCTTGACCCGCGCCTGCAAGAGGGTGGTTCGACTTTGCTTCTTTCTTATATACGGTTCGATTCGCCTTTCGCCTCTGCGAGCGAGACACGAAAGACCCCGCAGACCCGAGCGAAGCCAGAGAGGGCTTCGTCTTTTCTCGCTTGACTTCGGCCTTACTGCCCTCGCCCATCCCGCCGCAAACCGCTCGACCATCTCACGCTGCCACTGTTTGGTGGTGTGCCGACGCAGCGAGCAGATGGCCCAATACACGAGCACCGCGAGTCCCGCCCAGTCGACGGCGACGACGGCATCAGCCCAGCAGCAGCAGCCCCCTGCCCAGGCTCGGTCTCACCCTCAGGCACCCGCGCCGCCGTCGCAATCCTCGCAGCAGCAGCAGCAGCCTCCTCAGCACAAGCGCGTCTACCAGGCGTGCATCCCGTGCCGCCGCCGCAAGGTGCGATGCGACCTCGGGAGCGTCGACAACCCCCACGATCCGCCGTGCGTGCGCTGCCGCCGCGAGAGCAAGGAGTGCTTCTTCAGCGCCACGCGCCGCAAGAGGAAGACGGACGAGGACGACAGCGACGTCGACGAGTACGTCGTCAGGAACGGCCGCAAGAAGCTGCACGCCGCCGACAGCCCGCCCTTCTCCCGCTTCGACCGCCGCCAGTACAGCGACACGCCCCTGACCCCCGGGGGCTCGCACGGGAGGAACCAGCCGCTGCGGCGGCCGGACGGCAAGGCTGGCAGTGCCCGGGCGCGCGGCGGCAGCGAGTTCGACGGCGATGGCGACTCCAACCAGACGCTCGAGAACCTCGAGGCCCAGACCGTCATGCGGCGCGGCGTCTACGGCCCGCACGACGCCCTCGACCTGCTCTACAAGGCCGCGACGGATAGGTTTGTCGTGCCATCGCCGCTTGCTCACGCCACTGCTAACCGCGAGTCCAGCCCGGCTGCGGATGTAACACACAGGCGCCAGCCAAGCATGGCGTCCATTGCCCCGGGGCCGCCTCAGCAAGCGCAGGCCGCCGCCGACGAACCTGGCCATCGTGCCAAGTCGAGGGGGCCGTCCATATCCGTCCGGTCCGAGCAGCCCATCGATCCCAATCTGGCCCGCCCAATGTTGAGCGCCCAGCCTGGCTATGAGGATGCCTTGAGGGCCTGGTCGCGGTTCCGTTTCGTGCGAGCTGGCTGGTTCACCGCGCAAGAAGCCATTGAATATATTGACTAGTAAGCGCTTTGGGATCTCGTGTCCATCTGCAAAAGGTCAAGAGGGCTAACTGTTGATTCTTCTCCTCTCCTAGCTACTATAAATACCTTTCACCACTTACGCCGATTTCGCCTCCTACCTTTAGCAACCCGTCGTCTCACTTGACCCTCCTAACGGAAGAACCCATCCTCACAGTCACCCTTCTCACGATTTCCTCGAGATATTGCCAGCTTCCCGGCACCGGCGGTATATGCAGATCGCACGCGGTGCCCGAGCAGCTATGGACCTATTTGCGCGGCATGATTGAGAGGTGCCTATGGGGGCAGGAAGCGTTTGGCGGCGGCTTCTGCGGCTCGGGGTCTGCCTCCATGCTTACCGAAGAATCTCAAACAAGCAGCACGGCTCCCTGGCGAGGCCTGCGCAAAGGCAGTTTGAGGACACTGGGTACCATTGAGTCGCTGCTGATCCTGACCGAGTGGCACCCTCGTGCTTTGCACTTCCCTCCAGCGGAGGCCACCGATGAGCTGGTGCTCCCCATTGCCGAAGCCTCTCCTTTGATGGCGTCCGAAGACGAGCTGCACAGGACCATCGGCGCCGGCATTGGTGGCAAGAGGATCGAGAGCTGGCTGGAGCCGGCGTGGAGGAGCGACCGCATGTGCTGGATGCTGCTCAGCACGGCCATGGGACTGGCGTATGAGCTCGGCGTGTTCGACGACATTGACGAGCTGCTCAAGGACGACGCCATCACCCGTCCCGAGTACAAGGACGAGGTCTACCGCCAGCGCGCAAACCGTATCAAGCGGCTCCTGCTCATCTACACGAGCCAGCTTGCCGGCCGCTTGGGCTGGACCAGCATGACGCCGGAGCACCTCCGCAAGGCTGATCCCGCCGTCGCCCGTCAGAGGCCCCTGACCACGGACAGCGGCGGCACGCCCGCGACGAACCCGTCCTCCTTGGCCAACGGCTTCAACTACGTCCCGGATCTCGAGCTCGACGATCAAATCATCCACTGCTGGGCGGGCATCAGCAACGCCATGCACCTCGGCAACGAGAAGCTGTTCAAGACGCGCAAGCACACCACGGAGATTATCCAGTCGGGCAAGTACGTCGACCTGCTGAGGGAATTCACGCCGCTGCTCAAGGACTGGTACCGAGAGTTTGAGCTGTTCCGTCTGCCGCAGTACATTAGGCACATTCTGACCATCGAGTACGAATACGTCCGCATCTACATCAACTCCCTCTCGTTGCAGGCGGTGGTCGAGCGGTGCACTAACAATGCGGGCAACACTGCCAGCTCTGGCAACGGGCTCCAGCCGACGCACCTGTCCCCGCAGACCATGATCAACTACGGCAAGCTGCCGCTGGGCCAGCTGGGAGGCTTCACCGTTCACGACCAGGAGTACGTGCGCGAGGTGGTGGACGGCAGCCGGAATCTGCTGCGGACGGTCGTCGAGGGCCTGTTGCCCGGCGGCTACCTCAAGCACGCGCCCGTGCGGACGTACTTTCGCATCATCAGCGGCGCCATGTTTCTGCTCAAGACGTTTGCCCTCGGCGCGCCGCGGTCCGACGTGAAGCTCAGCATCGAGCTGATGGACGCCACGGTCGAGGCGCTCCGCAACTGCATCGTCGACGACGTGCACCTGGGCATCCGCTTCGCCGACCTGCTCGAGTCCCTGACCAGCCGTCTGCGGAACCGATTCATCCAGGCGCCGATGCAGCAGCCGTCTGCCAAGACACAGAGCCCGGCTCCGGAGACGGGCAGCGCGGGCGCCGTGCCACAGCAGAATGGCGAGAATGCAGAGAATGGGGCCAACTGGGTGGGCAGTCACGCGCAGAGGCTTAGAGACGGCCTCAACGGGCACTGTAAGTTGAGATGCTCATATCCATGTACGTTCTCGTAAGAAACTAACCGTGTTTTTCTCATGCAGACCGAGTGCCGACTCCCGCCACCACGGAGGCTAACAACATCTCGGCGACGCCTTTCGACCTCTCGACCGGCAACTTCCCGTACCACGGGGCGTCGTCCATTGGCCCGTCCACGCCCGCGGCGGACAACAGCAACACGTCGGGCGCCGGCGGCAACATGGACGTGAACCTGTTTGACGAGTGGAACAACGCCGGCAGCGAGATGTGGTATCTGCCGCCGGGGCCGGCCTTTTTCCAGAACATGGAGAACAGCTCGGTGGCGATGACGGCCGAGGGCGTCAACGTCGGCGGCCTGGACCTGCTCGAGTACATGGCCATGGACCCGGTGCAGTTTCCGGGTCTGGACGGGACGAACAGCGGAGCGGCTAGTTGATGCTGAGGAGGAGGAGTGTTTCTGTGATGGCTTGTGATGCGGAGGAGAAGGAGTATGCGTGATGGCTTATGATGCTATGTATGACTGAGTTGGACAAGTGAGTGCATGGGCTTTCAAAAAAGGTATAGGGATATACCATCATCAGACAGAAAGAAATTGTCTGGCGATGATGATGATCAAGATCTTGTTCGGGGGGTTAATAGCGAAATGGAATGTTTCCTGGCGTCATCTCGTACACTTTTGGAGTCGTCTTGCGATTTCCTTTCGTATGGCGTCTTCCTTGTGTGTCTTGCGTATGCCTTCTCTCTCCCCTATGCATGTGTGATTTGTCGAGTTGGTGATCTGAGAGCGTAATTCAATCACTTCATGGCCTTTCCCTCCCGATGGAGAGATTCTGTCAGTCAAGTTTCGTACATTTTGTTGTCGCTACCTGAACTCGTACAAATTGTTCCTTGCTACCGCCATAGCCTCACCCGTCCCCGATGCCAAAACTCGTGGTTGACAAGCGACCTTCTCCTGTCGAAAGATTGAAAAAGACGATTCATATTAGATTACTAAAGACTTTGATTCTATTACTTTCATTCTATCGCTAATACTATTCGGTTTCTTGTCTGCAGCCACCCCCTCATCTTTTGCATCTATACCCAGCGCAATTCACTACACAAACACACAGCTTTTTCCTTCTAGAGAATTTACCTCACTGCTTTTGTCTTTTGCTTGGGCTCCCCATATCACACACTTTCCCGTCCGCCTCTCTTTCTCTTTCCTTGTGAAAACTGTACAGCACAGCACAGCACAGCACAACACAACACAATACAATACAATACAAAGACTTTTTTTTGTGATACTTTTTTTTTTGTTGCCCCTCTTGATTTGATGAATGATGTGTTTGAATGAGGAGTATACTTACTTTTATTTATAAGTTGCTTCAAAACCCCGATAAACAGATAGAAAAACGACATATAAAAAGACTTAAGCCAGACGAGACAAGACAAAGGGCAGAAAGATTCAGAATTACCTTTATTGAACTCACATAAAAAAAAGAAAGAAGAAAAGAGAAAGAGAAAGAAAGCAAAAAATAAGGGACAGGAGAGAGGACACGCTCACACACACACACACACAAGTAGTGGTCAAGCAAGGTGGTAGATAAAAAAGAGAAATTCTAGGTGTAGGGCGTGGAGCTAACATGCTGCGATAGGAGAGAGAGAGAGAGAGAGAGAGAGAAGAGGTAATGAAGCAAGGAATCTACTTGCCATGGTATCATGTAAAAATAAGTAAAGAAACAGAATCAGACAGACAAAAGGACAAAAGAACATCTTTCCTTCCTGAGAAATGATTAAAAAGCTGAGAGATGGGGAGAGATAGAGAGAGAGAGGTGTAATGACGATAGGAAAATGCCGCGTCGAGGTGCATATGTTTGGTGTGTGTGCTGTGAGTATATTGTGTGTTGTGTTTCTCGAGTGTCGAGTGTGCAGTATGTGTAAGGAGGAATGAAAGCAGGGACGGAAGGGTGAAAACAAGTACATATAGAATACAACACATCTTTACACTCCCCCCTCCCGCCCTTGGACGGCTGCTACCAACGAGGCGAGAAAACAAGTTCTCCCACTGTAAGATTCTCCTCTCCCCAGTTCCTTTTCCCCGTTCTCCAACTTCTATGTGTAAAAGGCCAAAGGCAAGTAAGCGGTCGGTAGCAGGTGGTATATCGAGAGAAAGAAATAGAGAGCGAGGGAAAGGACATAAAGGACGGGTCAGTAGTTCTAGAGCATGAGGAGATTCCAACATCGTGCAGACATGGAGAGCATGATATATATCCTGTGGAGGGAGGACAACGGCAGACATATACTTGCACAAATGAATGCTGTATATGCTTGCCTTCGATAAGCTTTCAGTTCAGAGTGAGTAATGAGTGCGTCACGCCAACTCATCGGCTGTGGTTAGCATGAGCAGCTTGCAAGACTATAAGCGACCAGTTAGCCACAACTTCTCACAGAGACAATAAGAGGGCTTCTCATACCATGCAGCACGTTGAGCTGTCCGGTCCGATCCTCGCACGCCAGCTGGATGCCAGTGCCCTCGACAAAGTCCAGGACTACGCTGTTCGGCAGCTCCTGCACCTCCACGTCCGGCGTGTAGGGCTGTCGAAACTCGCCCATGTGGTACTTCTTGGTGCCCTGGGCCATCCGGCTGCTCTGCGCGGGCAGCGCGCTGAGGATGATGAAGCCGTGTGAGTCGAGGCACAGGTTGCGTCGCTTCCACAAAAGGCTGTCTGGGAACTGCACGTTGACGTCTCCCAGATCGGACACGATGGAGGCATCGCCCGAGGGCGAGCCTACGCTGGCGGCGGCATTCTGAGCACCGCGGGTCACCTCTGGCGAGGGAGACGTCGTCTTGTTCTTGGACCCACTGGAGAGGTTGGACAGCTTGCGCATGAAGCGCCCGGCGCGCGACGTCTTCCTGTCAGAGGGGGAACTCTCGTCGCCGGAAAAGGAATCTTCAGTCACGCTAGAGTTGGCGAAGCCATCGCGATCCAAGGTGATGGAGCGGCGGCTGCTCATCGACAGGCGATGGCTTGCGCTGCTGGGCGACTGAGTTGTTGTCCTAGAAGCTATGGCATGGCGCATGTTAGTCGAGACCGTGACCGTCTTCCGAGGGTCCTTGAAGAACCCCTTGACCACATTCAGCGAGGATCGCCTACCCATGTCGTCCTCGCCGCGGCGCTCGAGGGACCTGGGCCTCCGTTCAGAGCCCTCATCGCCTCGGTGCTGGTCAGCCGTGAGCGGCGACTGATAGCCGCCGTACTCTGAGGAGGCGTCCTTGGGCGGCAGCTCGTAGCCAGCGAACTTGGTGGTGATGGCGACGGACTCTGGCCGCCCTCGCGACTGCGTGCCGGGCGCCAGGCCCGGCGGCGGCGGGCTCGAGGCAGAGGCGGCGGAGGATGCGACTGCGGCCAGCGGCTCAAACATGGACACCCGACTGACGACGGAGCCGGACCTCTGCAGGCGCACTCTGCCCTCGAGCGCATCGTCCTGGTGCGAGGGCGTGGGCGACGCGGCTCTGCCGTGCAGCGACTTGGTCCTGTCGACGACCGACGGCGGCCTGGACGTGTCCCGTTTCTGCACGGCGAAGAAGGTCGACGACGGCCGCTCTCGACTGACGGGCCGGGACTGATCGCCCGATGTGGCCGAGAGCTTCTCCAGCGCCTTGATGCGCTGCGAAATGCTCGACCCGACGTTGGGCTTCATGGTGGCGAGGCTGGCCGACTGCTGCTGCGTGACCTTGTGTAAGAAAGCTGCGCCGGAACTCAGAGAACGCGCCGTGGACTGAGTTACATCTGTCGGAGCGATGAAGTTGCCACGGACAGGATTAGAGACTGTTCGAACGGTGTGCGCTGGTGGAGCTCGAGCGCCTAGCGGCCCATTGGCAATGGGAGCGCTGGGGAAGACAGGGGTGGGCGGAGATTTGCTGGCCGCCATTGGCTGGTCGTGCCTGTGCGCCGCTGCGTCGTGGCCCTGAAGAGGAGGAGGAGGAGGAGCAGCCGGAAGATGAGCTGTGGGAGCTGTGGGAGCTGTGGGAGCAGCGGGAGAGGAGGGGAGGGGAGCAGCAGCAGCAGCAGCAGAGGCGCCGGCGGCAGCGGTAATACTAGCCTCCTGGACGAGGGCATCGTCATCGCGGTCGCTGCTGCTGCTGCCGCTGCCCGCGAGCGCCAAATCCGTGCGGATCGGCCGTGGAAGCGCTCCCGGGTCATGCTCCTTGCTGGGCTGCTGCTGGGCCTCGTCGGCGTCGCTGGGCTCGTCGGGAGGTGCCGCGGCGTCACTAGCCGTCGCTGCTGCAGGAATTGCCTCGTGTGCTGCCGGCAACGGCAACGGGTCCGTCTGCAGCTCGAGCTCCATCGCGGGCGTGGCCACCGTTGTGTGCGTGGCGGCGGCGGCGTTTGCTGCGTCGACGAGATCCTGCGTCGACGCTTTGGACGGTGACGGTGGAGCAGCAGCAGCAGTAGCAGCAGCGCCAGCAGCCAGTCCCAGTCCCAACCCCAGCCCCTGTCCCCCTTTGTCCGTTGCCTGCGCAACATCGCCGGGGGTCGCACCGAGTGGAATCTCGCCTGCGCCAGATCCCAGGCCATCTAATAAGGCGGCCGGTGGGGCCTTTGACATCGGCATATGCGCCGAGAACTTGGAAATTGGCACTGCAATCCCTTTTTTCTCCTTTTCATTTTCGGCCTTGGCCGATCCCTTATTAGCAGCCCCGGCAGCCGCAATCTCATCAGCAGGCTCCAACGCAGTCCAGCTGCCAGCCTCAACCTCGTTCTTTTTTGTTCCATTCGTCGTGGAAGTCGTCTCATTTTCTTCTAGAAACGACGACGACGACGATGCTGCATCTGCAGGAACAGCAGGAGCAGCGGTGGCATCGGCCGGCGACGATGGCGATGCCCGTGACTCGACCTCTGCGACGCGGCCCATATCTTCCTCGTGCAACTTTTGCTCCGGTGCAACGGGATTGGAGATGACAGCAGCAGCTGGCTCCGAATTCTCCTCATCTTCCTCTGCGGCAAGGACGCCAGCAGACTCGCCAGCAGCATCTGTCGCGGTGACAACATCTACCTTGGCGCCATCCGTGGTTACTTCATCTGGACGCTTCGCATGAACGGTCTCGTCGGTGGAATCTGAAAGCGAAGAAGCTGTTGTTGATTGATCGTGCTCCGAAGGGTCAACTGCCGGGCTCAGGGGACGGGACTCTGATCGGGTGCCCTCAGAAACTTCATCTATTTGCACAGACGACGAGAGACTATCCAAGACGACGCCGGAGTCCGCCTGACTGATGGACGTTGCTGCATCCTCAGTTCCGTCGGACTTTTTTTTTTGCTCATTTTCTTGAGTGTTTCCCTCCTCCGCCTCCAACCCATCATTACCATCCTCCTCATGATCCTCCCCAGTGATCTCCTCAGAGTGCGTCATGTCTTTTTTTTTACCATCATCTTCCTCAGTGGTCGCCTTCTTGCCTTCGGAGCCCGGTGTATCCACTCCGGACTCGGCGCCGTCCGCAGACTGCTTCTGCTGCTGCAGCAGCAGCTGCTTCTTTTTCTTCTCCCTCAGCTTCATAGCCTTCATGAGTCTGGCCTTCTCGGGAGTCATGGTAGGCTTGGCTGGCACCGCCGGCACAGACAGCGTATCGGCTGATGATGCCGCGCCCGTGGATGGCCGTGACGAGTCGCCACTGGGTCGCCTCAAGCTCTCAGGTATAGTCCCTGTAGTAGAATCGGCGGGCAGCTCCACCTCTGGGATGTCTTCGTGAATTGAAGATGCAGCGTCGTCGTCTTTGCCTCGCCCTTTCCTCCCGCTCTTTCCAAACAACTTGATGCCGGCCGGTAGAGATGAAACGGGTCTAAAATCGCCAGAAGCCTTTGGCCGAATCGTAACATCCGTCGTCGGCCGGGGCGCGAGCTTTACCTTTGGTTTGCTCAGGGGGTAGTAGTTGTAGCTGTCGGTGGTGTCAAAGGACCTCGTAGGCGATGCTGGCCTGTCGGTAACACCCACAAACTTTGGGACCTCGGAGGTGCTTGAGGTTGAGAATTTGCGATGCTCCGGGGAGGATGCCAGCTCAGAGTTCAGCTTCACTTCATCTGCAGCTGTCGATCGGCTGCCAGGTGTCCGCGGCCGGTCGTCGTCGGATAGCTCGAGAGACTGCCGTTTGGGCGACCGTTGCTCTTCTTCGTCCTCCTCGGCGATTTCTCCCAGTCGTCGTCTTCGGGAGCTCACAGACGATGCCGTAGATCCAGACGCCGCGTGCAAGGAACAGGCAGCAGATAGCTTCGTGTCTCTCAATTCGGCGGCCGTGGAGATTTCGTATATGGTGTCGTAGGGAGCAAATCGTTCGCAGACAGCACCAAAGTGCACGGCGACTCGCGCTGGTTGGCCACAGTCAGTAACAATGATCACGGCGATGACAACGCAGATCGTCGCCGATCAACAAACTTGACGAGGCTGAGCATAAAGAGCTTACCTTGTATGAGCCGAGAGCAATCTTCGGGTAGGTACTTGACAATGACGTTCCTCCTCCGGTACCGCAAGAAGCCATACAACGGGCTTTCTTCTTCAAAGCCGGCGATGGCGTTTCGCATCTCGGCGATGCCCCCATTTCCCTTTTCCAGCAGCTCGACCTCGTCGCGACTCGAATACTTGAGCAGAAACCTAAAGCCATGACAAGCAAGAAGCAGGGTCTCAGCAAACACAGTATCTTATACAACCCTTCTTTGGGTTTGGGGGGAAGTGGGCCATGCATACCATCCTCCAGCCTCAGCAACGCCAGCCTCGTGCGCCTCTACGACCTTGGGATCGTCCAGGCCGTTTAGCGACATGGTTCCTTGGGTTTGGCTTCGATGTACAAGCCTCGATCGCTTCCATCAACCAGCTGGGCAAGTCCAGCTCAACCCAGATCCTTGGAGAGAGGAGGAAGTTGAGGGGTGGAGCGAACGGATTAATGGGTGAACAAAGAGCGAAACCAAAAGGCCGTCTCGAGAAACAAGGTGAAGCGAGCAGGGCAAAGAATGAATGAACCGTGAAAAAGGTAGATAAGCAACTCAGCAGTATAGTGAAGGACTGAGAAAGCGCAGATTGCGCGCCGCAAGGGCGGGGAGAAAGCAGAAACGCAGCTTCGTGCGCGCGCTGCGTCGGCTTTTGCGAGGCGAAGCGAGCGATGCTACCGCCGGCTCTGTTTCTCAGGGGCAAGATGCCACAGCCTTGTTGGACATGGAGGGAGAGAGAGAAGAGAGAGAGTGAGAGTGCGACGCAGTCTATCGAATGGCAGACGAGGCTCTGGGTGGAGAGAGGCGACCTGAACGTGGACAAAGGCGATTGTGTAGCAGATCGGAGAGCTCGCCAAATGATGGGGAGAAGTTGCCAAGGAGTCGAGTCGCGACTTGCCCGGAACGGAATTACTCGAGCATGAAGCTTCTGTCCTGCAAGCTTCGCGCGCAACCCCCGAAGCTCTGATGCAAAGGCGAGATGGCTGTCTGTATGACTGTGCCGTTTATCGGTACTTGTGCCGCTATCGTCTGTGCCGGCTGCGCAAAACAGGGTTTCAAGGAAGAGAGAGAAGACGTGAGGCCGTGCAGCAAAAAGTCGCGAGATCGAAATGTGTCAGTCCGTGCCTGTGCCTGTGCCTGGACCGAGAAAAAAAGCGAGTCCACACAGCCCACACCAGCGTTGCATTCATGTACTATAAGCGCCGCGCCGCAGAAATCGGGAGGCAAGGGGCTTCACTGCATCCAAACAGGGAACAAGCAACGCAGCCGCCCACATGGAAGTCGACAAGAAGAAGGGTAAGAAAAAAAAAAGCACGGGGCAACACATGCAAGCAGCAGATTCCCAGTGGCCGGTATGCAGATTCCAGGGCAGATCAACGAGATTGGCCATGCAGCATCGAGCCAGTTGGAACCGCGCGATGGGTTCACTCACCCTTTGTCAGCTGCGTGAGGCGTTTCTTCAAGCAGTAGCCCCATGCCCATGCCATTCCAGCTCAATAGTAATAGGCAAAAGGGCAGACGCGCTCCCAAACAATCACCGACCGGGTGCCCACGAGAAGCTGCCGCTGCCATTGCCTCTCTAGTAGTATCTCTCTCTCTTGGCGTGATTCGAGAGAAGAGGGCCCCATCACCTCGTAGCTTAAGGAGGTTTAGCTGGTGCCATCAAGCCCATTTCGGGGGAGACCCCCTGGTTCCGGGATGGGGGGAGGAGAAAAGAGGGGGGGAAAGCCGCCAGGGGTCTTGATGAGAAAAGGAAGAACTGGTAATACATTGGATCCGTGTTATTGGACCTGCGTGTCGTGTCTCTTCTTCATCAGACCATGTCGACAATTTTGTCTTGAAATGAGCTTGGGCCGCCCCTAGCAGCTGTCTGCAACAGGCATGCGATTGGGCCTCCCTCTGCGTCCCGATTGATTGCGCGCGATGATACCTTGATGGGTGAACACACGATGATACATAAGTTATGTACTCGTTCCTTGGTACGCCCGTAGCACACAGAGTACTGTATGAAGAGGGAGCAGTGGTCCGTATGACGCCGTTGTTGCTGTCCTTGCTTCCAGCAATCGGCGTTCCTTGTTTTCCGGCGCCTGTCCAGTGGCGGCGGCAGAGTCGATTCTTCCACATTGACATCTCGTGCCGACATGCAAAACGCCTTGCGAAAAGCAACTTGAATGCACAAAAAAGTGGCTGAAACGCACGTCTTGCAGCTGTCGTCTGCACCAAGGGAGCCCCCCATCCCTGCCGGGTTCTCTGGCTAGTGCTGCCTTTAGCATCGGGGGCGCAACTCCTGGTGGGGACATTGATGCAAGCTGTTTATTGGTGCTAGTACTCGTAGTCGCTCTGGCAGACGGACGATGGCTCGAATAGCCTCGATAGTAAGTGAGCACCCACGACTCGCTGATAAGCTGTAGCCGCTTTATTATGTTGACAGACTTCACCTTCGTCTATAGCCAGTAGCTGTAATACGACACAAGAGAACCCTACCCTAGATACTCGATTATGATAGGTGTAGAGTGGCATGCTCCTCTCACCATCATCTCACTCAATGGGCAGGCAGCATTGTTCATAAGATCCAGATCAATGATAAAGTCAATAAGACAGCTGTATAACCATCGAAGCTTGTTCGCCCAGCAAGGCCAACGTCATCCCGCCGTCTTACATACAGATACATGAAGCGTACAAAAAGCCTGGCCGTGCCATCTTGTTCCAACCGTACGCTCACTGCAACTCCACCAATGCATCAGCCACCATAGTGCTGTGATATCCTCAAGCCAACATCCCTCCGTATGTCTGAGCCGTATTTGCTGCCACAACCACCCTTGACTAGACTAGTAGTCCAGTTGAGATGCTCGTCCGATAGACTCAGTCGGCACTCTGCCTTGCCGTCTCTGGCCGGGCGGCAAGGGTGCGTGCGTCCTAGGCATCTGCCGGCTCCTTGGCTTCCTGTTGTGAATCGGGGGCGGCAACGGCCGGGCTTTCGCCTGTAGCCAGCTCGGGGCTGTCGGCATCCTCAATAGCAACGGGCTCCTCGACCAATGCATCGCCCAAGCTCGTGGGGACGAACCCCCCCTCTTCCTGCGGGGGAGCACTGTCGTAGCCGCGTCCACTATTGCTGGCTGACACGCCCACCGCTGGAGTCGCACCCTCGGCAATCTTCTGCTTGGTGTCCATGATGATCTTGTCCGCTTCGCTCACTTTGACCGCGGCACCGTTGTTCGCTTCGGAGTCGCTGTCCTGGCGAGCCTGGCTCTGCGCAAGAGCCTCCTTGTCCAGCCGCACAATCATACATGACAGGTTATCCGTGCTGAATCGGCTGAGGGCGTGGTCGACTAATATCTTGGATCCCTCGCTCGGGTCGTGGACATCGCGGACGAGATCGACGGCCTCTTGGTCGCTGCAAACATCCCACAACTATTGATCAAACGGTTAGCGCCCTGTTCACATTCCTTGTATTAAATGACCATCATCTTTGCCACAATACGACTTACCCCATCGCAAGCAATAATGATAAACTCGTCAAGGTCATGTTGTATGACCGTTTCCGTGGTGTATGGGTGTCCCGTCACAAGATCCTTCATATAGGTATCTCCGAGTGCTCTGGTGACAGCCAAGACTCCGTTGACGCGGTTGTTGAGGATGAGGCCGCCGGCGTTGGAGATTCGCTTTCCTTCGTTCTCGTCACTACCTTTGTGATCGTAGGAAAGACGCAGGGCCTTGCCGTTGCGACAGAGAATGATTCGCGCGTCTCCCACATTGGCCGTGTACAGCACACGCTGTCGAGTCGCCATTCCCCGGAGCTTCGCAGTGATGGACTCGTTGGGAACAGCTTGCGATGCTTCGGACTGGCCGTCCTTTTCCCTTTCCGACTCTTGCGACTTGGACAGTGCTTTGCCGGCAGCAACGTTTGCGGCGGCCGGAGCAATGGCAAGGGAGCCGGTGATGGATCGTTCGCTGGGCACACGGTCCTCCCAGCGAAGCACGGCAATGGCAGCCGTGCACCCGCTGTTCTTGAGCGGCAGCTTCTCGAGCTGGGCGTCGACGGCCGTAAACGTCATGTCCAGCAGCTCTGGGATCGGCATGTTGGGGTGTTTTCGTATCATGTCTTCCAGGATGATGTGAAGCTTCTTGCCGCACCAGTCGGCGGCAAACGTGCCGGCATGACCATCAAAGATGGCAAAGTAGCCGTTGTCCGACTCGGAGACCTCTCGGCGAGCGACGTCCTTGTCGTCCTTACTTGACTTGTCCTTTCCGGCAGCCGAGTCGACGGCCGGGGCCGGCGTGTCCAGGAAGTTGTAGAGAAAGGCATGCGTGTCCTCCATGGTGCGGCGGCATTTCTTGTTCCTATCTTCCCAGACGCCGACGCGGAAGGTGGACTTTGGCCCCGGGACCGAGTCGCCGGCCGAGTTGTTGTGCTGGCCCTGGGGCACGGCGAGGGCTGGGTCCTGCTTGCCGAGCTTCTGCAGCGGCGTCTGAGCGCCCGCATCCGATCCGGAGCGGCCAACCTGCGAGAAGTTGAGCGAGTTCCTGGCCGAGGCTAGCAGGCTGCTGGCCTTGCTGCCGACGCCGCTACTCCTGCGCTTCTTGTCGCCCGTGTCCTGACGGGTAGGCGGGCTGCCATTGCCGCTGCGCTTCTCGCCGCCGGCGGCCTGGTCTGCGTTGTTGATGGGCACAGCAGCCGAGGCCGCCGGCGGGCTGCCCTCGGGCGAGGGCGACTTGCCGTCGCTCTTGGAATCGTCCAGCTTGGGCCCCGACGAGTTGCTCGAGGCGCCGCCAAACATTCTATTCAGCAGACTTCCTCCGTGCGAGGAGAGACTGCGACGCTTGCTACCTGCCAGTTTTGTGGAGGAGGAAGAAGGACTTCCGGCGGCCGGGGATGGACGAGGTTGGCTCGAAATTATAGGGAAGGTCGGTGTTCGCAGGTGCCTGGGCGCAACGCAAGGCGAGGCAACGGCTGTTGGGACTGCAGGGACAGACAGACAGAGACGGGTATGGAGGAGGGTATGAGCGTCGGCGTCGTTCGCGGGGTTGCGGTTGGGATTCACGGACGGCTGTCGCACGCGTGATTGGACGGTCCAGGCGCCTAGTTGGCAGCGGGCGATTCGAGATGGATGCGATGGCGAGCGGGCTCCAGGGGATCTGGATCTGTCGGTGTCTCAGGGGGTTCGGCAGCGCTGGTGGGGAGCTGTGCCAGTGAGCGCGCGGGACGTGAAGCTGGTCGGATACCGCAGGCAGTGTGGCAGGTCAACGGAGCGATGATGGTGGACGGGATGGAGATGCTGGGGATTTTAGAGTTCGGGCACTGGGAGGGTATGTGGAAGTGCCACCCATTTGATCTGCCACGCCTGGAGCGGGGACGGCGGCCACGGCGGGGAGGATCAAGGCCGCCAGGGTGGTGGGTGGCTGCTGTTAGTGCAGTACGTTGCAGTCAACACCGATCTGCTAACTCGTAATATGGGTAATATGGGGAGTCTACCTTAGCAGCTGGAACTGCTGCTGGTGGAAGGCGAATAAAGAGGTGCTAATAGTCTAAGGCTCAGGCGAATGCTGTGCCCCGTGATACGGCAAACTCGCGCAGCAATGTTGCCTCATGGGCATCGTTTCCGCGGCAGGCTGTGGCAACTTGGGACCGAAGTCAAGGCAAACATCTGGCTGTGACTGTGAGGAAGACGGACGAAGTGATTGCTGCAAAGATTATGTATACAAAAGAAGATATCGGTGAGCTTCTGCTGTCCTGAGCTCAGATTGAGAGCCAGAGCAGACGGCATGTCCAGCTGATGCAGAGCATCTTGGCCCATCGGTGATAGCCTATCCATCATCTCTACAACCAAGCTGTTTTCCTGCGCTTCCAATATTGAGCTAGCTCTACAATTCTCATCGAGAACCTTGGGTACCTTGCTTGGTTGCACGTAATATACCTAAGGTAGCCATCGATGCTGTACTGGACACTGCACATTCTACAGCTGCATGCCTCAAAGCGCACAAGATACATGCAGTCAAGGACATACTTACAGGCATGGATCCGTGCATTCTTCTCACGTCACCTCACCCGGACATGCCAACCGCCCATCCGCAGTCCGGCTATTTGGACAATGGGCACAAATGCGGCAATGCTGCTCGCCTAGTCCCCTGAGGCAAAGCATTGTCCATCCAAGGTGCAGAAGAAGGGGCACAAAGGCAATATCCAGCTCGGCGATTGCAAGTTCTCCCGCTCTTGATCAGCTACTAACCTACAGGTATGTACATAAGCACGTAAGGTATCCAGATGCACACGTACGCCGACCGATGCGGAGATACAGTTAGCGCTCCAATCCAATCGTAGATGCATCTCGTTGATTTGTCAATTTATGCGGAGGGTGCTCTCCCCCCATGGATTCTGATCCGCGGGCAAGGCCGTAATCGCCGAGGGTGCGAATCTCCGAGGGCCGGAGGAGTAAACAAAGGTCAAAGGTTGGTGCATGCATAGCTGTCGCATGGACCGCACGCCATCTTGGTCTAGAGGATGCAGCCAATATGAGTTTCATCGTCAGATCGTGCCTATGCATGTACTTGGGCCACCATGATCCTAAGGTACTGCGCAATCACACGTGTGCCTCTTTGATGCTGCTCTTTCCAACCACAAGGAGACAAACAAGCCTCTCTCGATCAATTACCGTAAATAGAATAAACTGCACGCGTAGATATATCTGCAAGTGTATCTTTCGAATCATGATAGCAATCAACACCTCTTGCGCCCATGGGAGCGTGACACTGCTCACTCCCGTCCAAATCTCCTCGACGTACCTGCAAATAATGGCAAGCAAGTATCGTCGTCTTCTGCATCATACGTCTTGCGGCTGAACCATGGCCCCTTGTCAAGTTTGCCTTGCCTTCTCTGCTCTCATCGGTAACTGACAAATTATTTGAAAGCTTACTCCAGGTCGTCTCATTCATTATTTCGTGGCGGATTGTTGAGACAGCAAAGTGTCTACTTTCGAAGACTGTCGAGTCGGGCTTGGAGGTCATCGTCGACCGGGTCACCGCTGCCGCCTCCAGCCCCAACGGCTTGCGCAACCTTGCCCTCGGACAGAGCAGAGTTGCCCAAGGTGGTGGGCGTCTCCCCGAGCTGTCATCCAAAAGTCAGCCATGCCGTGCATCAAGTCTGAAACGGGGTGCGGTTGCAGTCTTACAGCTTGGTTCAGGTCTATGCCAATCTCCTCCAAGACTTGCTCAACAACCTCGTCGCCCTCCTCCTCGACCCCAACATCCATGGCGTCGTCGACGGCGTCGTCCATCATCTCTTGCCTCTGCTCCATTATATCGTTTTCGCGTTCAAACTCCATGGCAATGCGTTGCAGCTGTGGGAGGTTCATGGACTTGTTCATGCTGCTCAGCGCCATCGTGGCACCCTTCATCGCCTGCATCATCTGCTCGTTGGTTCGATAGGTCTGGCATCATTCACCAGTTAGCAAATGGTATACCGCAATCGCTCCAATGTCCGGAAATACCTGAAGCCGCAGTGAAATCTTCTGCAGCTGGCTGCGCATGCCGTAAAACTTTTCAATGTACCGCCGTGTGCGCACCAGGTCCTTGGCTTGGATCTTGCACGCGCCCATCTGCCCGTTCTTGGCGCTCGTCTTGATCTGCTGTATCAGCGTCTTCTCCTGCTTCTCCAGCTTGACGCGGGTCTGGTCGAGTTCGCGGATTGCCTTGTCGAGCATGCGCTGGTTCTTGCGCAGACGCTCGGCCGGCGTCATGCGCTTGCCAAAGGCCCATTCGAGGATCTGCAGTGCACGTCGAGGTTAGGTGCCGCTTTGGACAGGCAGTGAGCATCAAGGCATTGCCTCACATTCATGGTGACGACGACGGCTCGTCTTGTGGGAGCAGCGACAGTTGCAGTGCCGTGTTATGCCAGCGTAGAGGAGGAACCGGCTGACGACGCTGTTCGTGCGAGATGCTGTCGAGATGAAGCAGGCGAGAGGTTGGACGGCATCTGCCTAGCAGTAGCGGAGAGCCTGAAGAGCGACGTCGTGCTGCCATGTTTGCGGTTGCCAGGACGTCAGTCTGCCATGGGCCACGGCTCATGTACCCCCGCCGCAACGAACCGGTGTGCAGATACCTGGCACCTCCCAGGCCCAGTTATGACTCGGAGAGCCAACGATAAGATAGCATGTGCGCTCCCCGAGCTTGAGCCGAGCAGCTAGGCCAATCAGGGGAGCTGCGTCACCTGGGAGGCGGCAATTTGCTTAAACATCATGCAACCTTTTTACTGACGAACCCGATCCAAAGCCCGACCCTCGCGCTTCCACCCGACCTTTTCTTCGCCTTCATTCGCCTTCATTCGCCTTCTTCACCTCTTCGCCCTACCCACGCCCTGACAGCATCATCAGCATCCTCATCAGCACCCCTCTCCGCCCGACAATGCTGCGGGCAGCCAGTCCTTGACCAGCATGAGCCAGGAATACTTCAACGACAAGGGCAAGGCGCCCGCCGTCCGCGCCTCCGACGATGCGGACCTCGAAGCCGCGGGCTCAGCCGGAGGACGGCCCAAGTACATGACGGTCGGCAACGGCACCACCTCGGAGCACGCCGCTCGGCTGCAGAGCATGCTTGACGTCGACTCGGGATACGGAGGCAGCATCATGGGCGACGACCCGGGCATGTGGGACGTGCAGGCGCACGGCGGCGACCGGCGACAGTCCGGAGCCATCCACCAGATGTGGTACAACTCGCAGAGGGCGACGCTCGGCCGCTCCATCAACAAGGTGCTGGATCTCCTTCACGGGCTGCGCGAGATGAACACGGTGTGGCCGGCGCACTACCCGTCGGTCCAGCGAGCAGAGAAGATGGACTCCAATGCGCCCCGGCCCGGCATCCTGCACTCGTCGACAATGGAAGACGTCACAGCCAGAGCCAGCCAGGCACCGCCTATGCTTCGGAGGGCCGCGACAAGTCTCGAGGATCCATCAGCCGAGTCTAGCCAGGCTGCTGAGGCGCGCCCTACACCGGAGCCGCGGCTCGTTTCCCCTTCGATTGCGCAGGAGTTTTCCGTCTTGAAATTGGATCTGAAGCTGGGAGCTCTGCACCAAGCCGAGCTGGTGCACTCGCTGGAGAAGGGCTCCATCGCATCGCTCCTGGACGGCAAAATCAGCTCCAGCATCAAGCATCTTGTGTCTCTTCGCGAACGTATCGAGGACACATCAAGCAAAGTGCTCATCACAGGCGATCTGAATGCGGGCAAGTCGACATTCTGCAATGCTCTGTTGCGGCGCAAGGTCCTGCCCGAGGACCAGCAGCCCTGCACAGCCATCTTTTGCGAGGTGCTGGACGCTCGCGAGAACGCAGGCATCGAGGAGGTCCATGCAGTTCACAAGGAGGTGATTTACAACCGAAACGACGAGTCGACCTATGACGCATACTCTCTCCAGGAACTGGAACGAATCGTGATTGACAACGAAAAGTACATGCAGTGCAAGGTCTACGTCAAGGACGTCCGGACGATTGACGAATCTCTTCTCAGCAACGGTGTCGTTGACATTGCCCTCATCGACGCCCCTGGCTTGAACTCGGACACGACCAAGACGACGGCCATTTTCGCTCGACAGGAGGAGATTGACGTTGTCGTGTTTGTTGTCTCTGCAGCCAACCACTTTACGCAGTCCGCCAAGGAATTCATCTGGGCCGCTGCTGCGGAGAAGGCTTACATCTTCATCGTCGTCAACGGCTACGACTTCATCCGGGACAAGGAGCGATGCCAGAAGATGATCCTGGACCAGGTTGCGGGGCTGAGCCCACGGACGCACAAGGAGGCATCGGAGCTCGTTCACTTTGTCTCGAGCAACGTCATCCCAATGGCACCCTCGCCCCCCGGCGGACCCAGCGGCGGAGGCGGCAGCGGTAGCGGCAGTGGAGGGGGTGACGATCCCCACGATGACAACGGCAAGGGCAAGGACTTGGACAAGGTCCGAGACTTTGAGAAGCTCGAGCAGTCTCTGCGCAGATTTGTGCTGGAGAAGCGAGCGAGGTCAAAGCTTGCCCCAGCGAGGACATATCTGCTCAACATCCTCAACGATGTCAACACACTGGCAACGGTCAACCACGAGGTGGCTCAGTCCGAGTACGACCGCGTCGTTCAGGAACTCAAGGAGCTTGAGCCCCAGATCCTCGCCAGCAAGAAGGCTCGCTCAGAGGTGGATGAGCAGGTCGTCCAGAACATTGAAGAGACGTGCAAGGACGTGTATGAGCACACTCGAGGGCAGCTCAACGGCGCCATTACCTATGCCGGAAGCACCAAATACGACATTCCATACCCAGGTATCTTTGGTGCTTTTGGCTACGCCGACGACCTCAAGGACGCCATCCTCTCTCACATTGCCGATGCTGTCAGCAGCTGCGAGGACTACGCCCGAGCCCAGACGGTCAAGGGAGTCAACTCCATCAAGCAGCTCGGCCTGCTTCACGTCGGCGACGAGTTCCAGAACCTCCACTTCCGGCCAGACGTCATGTTCCGCCGAAAGAAGGACGCCCTGGCCCGCCAGGTGGACGTGCCTACCGAGTTCGCCGACTTTGTGGACTTTTCCACCCTGTTGCATAGCCAGGAGAAGTTTGCTGGTACGGGCATGGCCCTGACCGTTGCCGGCGCGCTCGTCCCTCGCATGCTGGGAATGAACTCTTGGGTGGACCACGCCATCACCGCGGGGCGGATTATGGGCAATGATAATCTTCGCAAGCTCATCTTGCCTGGCATCGTGGTTGCTGGTATGTATGCTCTTTGCAACTCTATATGTGTATCAATTGCTAATCGATATCTCTCCAGCCGTTGCCGCTTCGGCGTATATCCTCCAGCAGATTCCCAACTCTCTCCCCCATCGACTGGCCAGGAAGATTGAAGCACAGCTGTCCGAGATTGACTATGTCCACACCAACGCCTCCCGAATCTCAGGAGCAGTCCGCACGGTCCTGCGCATGCCCGCCGACAACCTGCGCGTGGGCCTCGAACACAGCGTCAAGGACCTGAACAAGAAGCGCGACGAGACGGTCAAGATCAAGGGCGAGAGCGAGCGGGCCTCCAAGTTCTTCCGCAAGCTGGTGAACGAGAGCCAAGTCCAGAAGAACATGGTGGAGGGTGTCGACCTCGACGCGCCGCCGCAGCAGATCCCGCACTGAACGAGTTTAAGAATTCGCGGGTTTTTGACATGACGTGTGACGAAATAGAATGGGACTCATGATGACTTTGAAGTTTCTCTCCTGCTGTTCTTCTCGGGCGTTATAAGGTTTTGTGGAGATTGAAAAACGAAACGATTGCGCTATGGAGTGCTGTTTCTGATGAGATACAAAAAAAAACGGAGGGGGCATGGGAGGCAAAAAATTGAAGAAGGAAAAGTTTTAGCAAACAGTGAGTGAGAAGGGGGGGAGGAGAATGGAAGCCATTGGATGGATTGAGCTGTTACTACCTCTCTGCTCTCCCAAGTATTGTACCTGGTTTTTCCCCTGTCGACGAGCAAGCCATAGCAGCGTTATGAATGTCCCTTTTGCGTACGAATAGTTGGTATAAGCGCAGTCTTAGCTCGAAATACCAAAAACCAGAAAAAGGGAGTGCATATCCCATTATCCTCCAGAAAAAACAAAAAGAAGAAGAAGAATTCGGGGGCTGGTTCATGTGCCATGCTGTGCTCTGATAATGCCTGCCCCGGGTTTCTATCTGATACCCTCTCTCAAGTCCACATGATGCTCCGCAGTCTCTCCTTCTCCTTGTCGCCGCCAAAGATGGCATCTATGGACTCCCTGGCGAGGGCACAGACCTGGGCCTTGTCGAGGCGGAAGTGCTGCGCGACGAGGCGGTATTCGTTGGACAGGGGGCTGCCGAAGATGCCCACGTCGTCCGTCTGGTTTGCAAAGTCATCAGCTTCTTTTACCTCCACGACCGATAACACATTGTGAATTTCTCTCCGAATGAATGTTTGCAAATAGGGTGAGAGAGAGAGAGAGAGAGAGAGCAAAGACAGACAGAGAGACAGACAAAGAGAGACAAGGAGAAAGAGAGAGAGAGAGAGAGAGAAAAAACTCACCCCAAGCGTCACCTTAACCCCCTCCACAGCCCTCCACCCCCCAAAATGATGCCCCTCGAACCCGCCCTGGACCATGCCCGCATGGACATTGCAGCTCAAGCACAGCTCCAAGCAGAGCTCGCCCTTCCTCCGCGCAATCTCGCGCTTCGAGTCGGCGTCGTCCCAGATGACGTGGCCGAGGCGGTGCGGCCGCCAGGAGAGCAGCGCTGCGAGCTCGGCGGGGGAGGCGCTGGCGGGCGTCTCTGCGAAGTGGAGGGTGATGCCGAGGCCTGCGGCGCGGGCACGCGTGAAGACGGGGGTGAAGACGGATATGGCGCCGTTGGGGCGGGCGGTTGGGTCGCCGCAGAGGTCGAGGCCTACGATGATGGACTCTGGCAAAGAGGAGGAGGAGGTGCGGTTGTTGTTGTTGTTGTTGTTGTTGGAGAGGGAGGACAGTGCAATGGAGAGCGTGGACTCGGCCTTTTCCAAGTCGTCGCGTCTGTCGACGGAGAGGATGAGCCGGGTGTGCAGCGAAGGGTTGGACGCTTCAAAGGCGGAGATTGCGTCGACGATGACGGAGACGTATTGCTCCGCGGAGAGATGGGGCGTCGCGCGGGGGGTCGTCCGGAGCTCGAGGTACACGACGCCGTCGCGGAGGAAGGACTGCAGGACGGAGGCCGTTGCGTGGCGGAGCGAGGTTGCGTCTGTGAGGAGGGCGTAGATGTATTTGCTGAAGAGGGGGAAGAAGCTGCGGGCCCTCACGAAGGTGTGTGTTGTTGTTCATGTCAGAAGAGAGAGAATATGTATAGCTTGACTTGGGGGGGTTTGGAGGGGGGGGTTGAGATATTGGTTGGGGGAATATAAGAAGCGCGCACACACTTACGTTTCGAGATTGAAATCATGCTTGCCTTCTGGCATGACGAGCAGAGGGTCTTGGAGGTCTGTTTCGCCGGCGGCGGACTTGGCGAGCCATATCTCGTGGAGGGTTTGGCGGGAGATGCTGCCTGTGAGGTGAGCGTGGAGCTGTGAGAGAGAGATGTGTGCGAAGTTGTTAGAAGAAGGTTCATCCTTGCTTGTAGGTCTGGGTGAGCGAACCTCGATTTTTGGCAGGGCTACAAAGTCCATGAGTTTTTTGACTGATTGGTTTACTGTATGCCAATCACATACACACACACAGAGAGAGAGAGAGAGTGTGGCCGATCGATGGAGTCGTGAGAAGTGGTGAGAAGGTGCCCTTACATGAGATGAGGTTCAAGACGGGCCCCGCAGTTGGAGGCTTACATGTAAGAGAAGCCTTAGCAGAGACGCTATGCATTTTTGTTCTGCCAATGTCACAGGCAAAATATCAACTGGGTACAGACAGATTTGGAGCATCTTCACTACACATCTTGAATAGCAGAATGGCGGCACGGGGCGAATATGCACCTCATTCAGAGTAGAGATGGCATCAACATGAGGTGCGTTAAGTACACAGAAATCATCCTCGTGCTCCCCATGGTCCCTCTGAACTGTAACCTCCCATGTCCTCCAGATCCCATAGAGCCAGCAGCCGCCGGGCAGAGTAGAATGAGATATATATATAAGAGATGGCTGAACGCCATGAGCCCGCCCTCTGCTCCTTTGCTTCAAAAGGTTTATTGTACACGAGTGGAGAGGACCCTTTGCTTGATCTCGCCTTGAGGTCCTCACACCACATATCCACATATATCATCAACCGTCTTCCCTCCGCGTCATTGTAAGTTGTAAGTCAGTCATTACAAGAGAACCAAATCGTTTTTTCCCAGTTCCAAGCACCTGCTTCGTTTACCATGTGACGCCCCAAAAGTGTCAATCTTCCACATTTTCACGTCTTTTTTCTTCAACAGTTTCCATCCATCTTTTTCATTCATCTTTCGTCTTCATCCCGCCTCACAGCGCCGGCTTGGCCTGCTCAGACCCCAGCGCCGCGCCCACCTGCTCCGCCGTGCTCTGGTCCGCCCCCGCGGTCAGCAGCTCGCTGCCCGTCTGGCGCATGTTGTACTCGGCCTCCATGGCCGTCAGCTGCTGGTCCTCGGCGAACGAGAGCGCAAACGGCACGCCGAGGAAGAGCGCCGACGTGGTGATGACCCAGGCGCTCTTGCCGCCAAAGGACAGCGCGCTCCAGGCGGCGCCGGCGACGGCGTTGACGCGGCTCGAGACCCAGCCGCGGGTCGTGGGCGGGATGATGTCGCGGAGGGCGTACAGGCGCTCGGCGAGCGTCTCTTCTGAGGGGTCGAAGTCGGACTCGTTGGAAATTTCGGATTCTGCCATTGAAGAGAGTTAGAAGCCGGGTTGTTATGTTGGGAGGGGAGATTTGGGGAAGGCAAAGGCATACCGGTATCGGTAAAGTCGTCGTCCTCGATTTCAACGGCGTGGGCGTGCTGGAAGTGCTCGTCCTCGACCTCGGTAAGGGTAACCATCTTGCTCGGTGTTTATGTGGGAGTTTCGAGAGAAATGGCAATGTGGTTGCTTGAGCAGCAAGGAATCGGAGTTGCGCAGGCTGTTGATTTGATATCGCTAGAAGTGGTGGCGATTCAAAGCTTCCGGTATGCGGGGCGCTCGAGGTGAGTAAAGTATGCTTTTTACGGCCTTCGTCTTCCTCTAAGAGTGGTAATGCCAGATATAGAGAGTGGTTGGCAAAGAAGCTGGTTCGGGCCCTGCAGCAATGCTTGTGAGATGGGGATGGTGTTATTGCGTCGATTGCGGCATTCGACGATTCCAGTCAAATTTTTTGGCTCATTCTTCACGTTCAAGCCGATAATGGGTCTGTTGCGGCCGGGCGTTGGTGGTTTAGCCGAAGTTATCGCAACGGTCACGTGCCCCTCTCTCTGCATCTCGGCTCATTCTGCTGGACCATGAACATTGCAAGATTGTTTGCTCCGGGGTGTGATGGGCTTCGAGCTCATCTCTTGCCACGCCGGTACAAAAGGCGCTGTGCGTTGCATCGTGTCTTCCCGGCAATGCGACTGCTGAAAACCCAGTCTCCAGAGCATCAACATCAACTCAGCCCTGTCTCATCTCCTTGTCAAGGCGCTGTCGACCGGGAAGTGTCTCGAGTGTCACGAAACCACAGCCGCCGCCTTGTGCTCCCGTAGCTGCCATCAATTCCAGCTGAAGAAGGATCTTTGTCTAAAAATACAATTCGGGAATAAATAGAGTGATTCGGCACTCCCAAGACGACAAGTAGCCACAAGCCCAGTGTTTCCTCCATCGTGAACCTACTTACTTGGCTGCTGCAGTCCTCCCCAAGTATCCGTATGTACTTCAAGATGCCTAAAACGGAACAGATGCTTTTCTTCACGCCAGTCATGATGTCATCACGAGGTCCCTCGAGGCAAAAGGCCCCGTTGATGACTTTCATGTCCGCTGCGCGTGCCGGACTTGTATTACGACTGCTAAACTAAAAAATTTCTAGACACGTTCGGAATCCTCCTCGCATATTCTCGGCTCTACAACTTACACACGCAAGCACACATAGCAAGCTTCATACACTGTGGCCTTGTGCCGGGGGAGCGTGTGATTGCATGCCATTGCAGAAGAACAAGCAGCTAGAAAAAGTTTTTCCTTGCGCCCTGCATTCGCTTCAGGCCCATCATCTGCCACTGTTGGTAACATCATCGGACCCCATTATGGTACACTGCATAGTATCGTCAAGCGGTTGTAAAGGAAGTGTCAATGTAGACTTGCCCATTGCTGGGTTTGTGGCGCGAATCAACTCTTCCGACCATTGCCGTCCTTTTGTCTAATGCTGCCTCTTTTGCTCCCAACGCCTTCATCCGGAATTTCAAAGACAATGGGACCTACCCTGCAAACGGAGAACTTTCTACACCCTTACAGTTACACTTGATTTACATTCAACCGCGAGCCATGGCAATTGCATAACAGAAACTCCAGCTTACCCAAGAACTGTGACCTGTCAATTTTCCACGGTCATCGTATTGATTCCCCCCGTCTTTGCTACATGTTAAGCTCTCTCGCTCATACAGTCCGTTGCCCCCGAGACAAGAAGTCTCATCATTCATGCATGTTATATCCTCTACCAGAGCGACTTGTTGTTTGTTATGTATCCACGTTACCTGTCAATTCAATATGCGTGGTAAAGCATAAATCCCCATCACAAACACTCACCAACACTGAAAGCCCAATCATCTAAAAGAACATCTTTCTCGTTGAGTTAGGCAAGGAAGCAGAACCAGATCCATAATAGGCTGCTTTCGTCCGCACATCCCAGCACCCGAATTTCAAGGTTCACACAAAGAATCCGCCTCGTGTCTAATGCAAACACCTGATGCTCTCGAAAGTTAAAAAAAAAACCAATTGAAAGTTTTGCGAACAAGAAAAAAGGTATTTTACCCACACCGCAATCGATACAATTACTCAACTTCAATCGCCATATCCCGAACCTATAATAACGTCCTGCGTATTCCACACACACAGCACTGTCTAATATAGATGCAAGCAACACCACATATGATCACACTCCCACACAACCAACCCAACCTTGACCGTCTCCTCATCCATCAACACTTTACCCCAGGAAATAGAGTAATATGTAAAAAAAAATGCATTTACCCAGACAACAACCCCCCATCAAATCCCCCGCCGATCCTCCCCAATCCCGCAAAAGATCGCGAAGAAGAGCTCACAACTCATAAGAACCCCCCGGCCTTGGAAAGGTAAGGAAATACCAAGTACACGCAAGGTAGACAACTGACACACCGCCCCTCATGCTTTCAAGGGGTGGCTGGTCAACAACAAACTCAACAAGAATCACGTCTTGTGATCGAACACGTCGCCCTTTTTTTCATTTCACTTTTTGCTTTTTTTGTTTTCCAGCAAGCTCCCGTGAAACAAAACGTTGCTTCGCGAAGAATAGGAAGG